CGATCACCCATAACACACCCGTTGTCGACCCGTTTTAGCAAAAGTTTTGGGCATCAGACATCATATGAGATTGCAACGGCGGGTTCTTAGGGACGGTGGCCAGCGGATGCAGAAACACAGGGGGGGGCGGGGGGAGAGAGAGAGAGAGAAAAAGAGAGAGAGAGAGAGAGAGAGAGGACAGAAAGAGAGAAAGAGAGAGAGAGACCAGAGAGAGAGAGATGGACAGAGAGAGAGACAGAGAGAGAGAGAGAGAGACAGAGAGAGGGAGAGAGACAGAGAGAGAGAGAAAGACTCTAGTTGAACAACCAGTCAATTCGCAGTTATAGAGGTCGATATCAAGTCGTGATCTGTTTGGTGACTGACCACCTTTAAGAAGTGGTAGACCACCTTCAAGAAGTGTCAACCTTCACGAAGTGCCAAACAGTCGGCGGTTAGAGGACTCCAGTGCCAGAGGCATTCTTAGGGGACCTTGCGGTCGTGTTCAGAATATATTGGCGTAGCACTAGATGCTCACCAAGCGGTTCAGGATGTCGGTTATATCGACACATCATAAGATGCCTTACAAGCAAGCAGCGGCTGCTTGCAGGACCTTCTACCCGGTATGGATCTTTGAGAGCAGAGTTTCGCACTCCACCGTGAGATCCACGTCGGATAGGTGGACCTGCCATCCTACCGCTGTTAGCTGTAGTCATCTTGAGGGAGTCGATGAGGTGAGGACCCGACAAAGAAAACTCTCAGTGGACTTTGCTGCTGTGTTTTTGGAACTTATTGGCATAGCACTAGATGCTCACCAAGGAGTTTTGGATGTCGGTTATATCGACAAATCATAAGATGCCTAACAAGCACGCAGCGGCTGCTTGCAGGACCTTCTACCCGGTGTGGATCTTTGAGAGCAGAGTTTCGCACTCCACTATGAGATCCACATCGGATAGGTGGACCTGCCATCCTACCGCTGTCAGATGTAGTCATCTTGAGGGAGTCGACGAGGTGAGGTCTCGGCAAAGAACACTGTCAGGGAACTTTGGTGCCGTGTTTGGAACATATTGGTGTAGCACTAAATGCTCACTAAGCAGTTCTCGATGTTTGTCATATCGACACATCATAAGATGCCTTACAAGCAAGCACCGGCTGCTTGAAGGACCTTCTACCCGGTGTGGATCTTTGAGAGCAGAGTTTCGCATTCCACCGTGAGATCCACATCAGGTAGGCGGACCTGCCATCCTACCGCTGTTGGCTGTAGTCATCTTGAGAGTCGATGTGGTGAGGACCCGACAAAGAACACTCTTAGGGGATTTTGCTGCCGTGTTTGGAACTTATTGGAGTAGCACTAGATGCTCACCAAGCAGTTCAGGATGTCGGTTATATCGACACATCATAAGATGCCTTACAAGCAAGCAGCGGCTGCTTGCAGGACCTTCTACCCAGTGTGGATCTTTGACAGCAGAGTTTCGCACTCCACCGTGAGATCCACATCGGATAGGTGGACCTGCCATCCTACCGTTGTTGGCTGTAGTCATCTTGAGAGTCGATGAGGTGAGGACCCGACGATGTTCCAATTGGGACGTGCTCTTGTTTCGTGATGTGCAGGTGCTTACAGGCGGTTCGTTTGATCCCCTCCTCGACGTGAAGCAAAGTGCGAGGGAATTGCTCAGGGATCACACCAGAAGTGCGATTAAACTCGCACTTTGATGGAGAAGCAGTTGCGGAGTCCATCAGCACGACGATTTAATATGGACATTGGCTTGTCATTTCTATATCACAGGTTGAAAACGCCATCAAATCTTTCTGTGTAGAAGATTCATATCCATTCATACAAGTATCTCTTGTCATCTTAAACATCGAGATGAAAACATCTCAAGTCAAATTGCAAAGCACACAGAGACTTTGCAAACATCGAGGTGAAAACATCTCAAGTTGCGTGCTGTTTTTCCAAAGGTGAAGTCTCAGAGCAGACGATCAGTTTCCAAAAACCATTCTATACAGAAAATTCATTCAAGGGCAAATTGCAAAGCACAGAGACTTTCCAAATTGAACGCAAAATATCATACAATGCCACATTGCAAAGTGCACGGAGGATTTTCAAAAATCACAAAGTACATGGAGCCAAAGTGCGAATATGTTCTCATTTCCCATATGGAACCAACAGTTCAATCACAAATGCACGGCATCCAAAGTGCGAATATGTTCGCATTTCTCATATTGAAACAACAGCCAGCATCCAGTGAAGAGCACGAGATGTATTCCGGGGATAACAAATTTGGCAATCATTTAGTGCCCCGCTGAATCCGTTAAACAACTTCAAGCACATGTCAAATTGCAAAGCACACAAAGACATTGCAAACATCGAGGTGAAGACATCTCAAGTTGCCTAGTGTTTTTTCAAAGGTGAAGTGTCACAGCACACGAACGGGTACCAGAAACCATTCAATGCTGGAAATTCAGTCGAGGACAAATTGCAAAGCACACTGAGACGTTTCAAAAAGTCATTGAACGGGAAATATCATACATTCCCACATTGCAAAGTGCACGAAGGCTTTCTAAATATCACAAAGTACATGGAGCCAAAGTGCCAGTATGTTCTCATTTCTCACATGGAACCAACAGATCAATCACAAATGTACGGCATCCAAAGTGCGAATACGTTCGCATTTCTCATACGGAAACAACAGCCAACATTCCGTGGAGAGCACGAGATGTATTCCGGGGATAACAAAATTGGTGATCACTCAGTGCACCGCTGAATCCGTAAAATAACTTCAAGCACACATACATTCTGGCGACAATTGGTTTCCGAATGGAGAACAAGTTCGCAACTGTCATAAAGAACCAAAAGACAGCATTTAATCGAGACAAGCAGAGGGGGTGAACCGTAAAACGGGGCGGCACACGCAGAACAAGGACGAGCCAAAACATATGAAAGTTGGGTAGTCGGGGTGGGGCGGGGGAGAGGGGTTTTCACACCACAAAGTCTCACGAACGAAAGAGATAAGCACGAAACAATTTGGCGACCAAGAATAAATCGTCGATATTTTTCACATGAGTAAAAGAGGAGCACAACCTCGAAACGAACAAACGCAGCACGGGGCTGCCGCGGTCTGAGAGGACATAAGGAGAACAACTCGAAAATAAACAAAAGGAGCACAAAGTTGGGATATTCTCATCCGATATGTAAGTGTCTACTTAAAAGGAACTGCACCACGTGGCTGGGATATTTACATCGGCATCTAAGCTTCTACTTCACGTAAGCGTCCGCTGCTACCCTCTAGCTGATGTTGCGTGGCAAACAATGAGAACAACCCGAAAACAAACAAAGGAAGCACGGCGCTGCCGAAATTCCTACGAGTAAAGATGACAGGTTCCACGAAATGAAGAACCCTTAAAAAATTGATACAGCACGAGGTTGGGATATTCATATCGACACCTAAGCCTGTACTTGACCAAAACGTCCACTGCAATCCGGTACCTCATGAAAACAACAGCACAGCTCGAACCAGCTGACTGCTAGATCAAGTGGGAATAGATTCGCACTTCTGCTTATGGCATTTCGAAAAAAAAACTATGCGTATTTTTACAACAGTGGTATCATTCAGCGCCTTGGAGTATGTCCACCGCAAAACTCAACCCGATGTTTGGATTGTCGCTTTGGGCTATCGGAAATGGTGGCGGACAGCCGCGTGCAAGAAATGAAGCGAAGGCGAGTATGAAAACACTGCAGCTCGACCCGTCCGATTGTTGAGGGACACCACGAACAACCACCTTGGGCTCCTGGAGATCCACTTTCGTTTTTGGACCATAATGGCAAACTGCTTCGTCACGGAGGTATTGTGTGAAGCTCGCAATCACATCGGAAGAAAAACCGCCATCGTCTTGTACGAGGGAGTCGTCGTACTCCAGCCGTTGTTTTCAAGGACACAATAGGGTCCGATGCACTCCATGTTTATGGACAGGAATCAAGACCATCTCGTGCGAGAAAATATCCACATCTTTTGTCCATCTCGCAACCCTATCATGTAAACAGCCGCCACGGACAAGCTTGGTATAGAAAAATGGACTGAAAATGTAAAGAGAGGGACACCCAGGCAACGCAGCGTTGGCAAGCAAGGCCAAATACGACTCCACCACCTCGTCGGAAAGCCATTCCCCCTGAATAAGAGTTTGAAGACTTTTTCCGCTCAACGGAATTGAACTAACCTCTTTGCGAACCGAGCACACCACCTCGTGGACGTTGCTGTAATCTACACAGACGTTCCACAACAGTCTCAAGTCCGTAGCGCTAAGCTCCTCAGTAGGCAACGGAACGCGAAAACATGATGTAGCCCCAGCTACACAAACACCCACGAACAAGTGTGAGGAGTGACCACAAACCTCGTGGTGGAATGACTAAGAACTGTCTGGCCTTTTCCCTGAAAAGTTGTATCCCCGCTTGTTGAATGTGTCCTTCGCGATGTACTTAGGACACGAGTCTTTCAAGACACCCTGTTTGCCATCGTTATCAGACCCGTCAGACAAAGCAGTAACGCTCTCAATAGACGCAGCCAAATGGTTCCGCAGACCTTCCTCCTTATCTATTCCACAAGCCTTCTGAACCCTGACAGCTCTCTGGGAAAGGCGAGGCATCTGGACCCTTTTAAACAACCCTACACTTGCCGACTTCTTCGGTAAAGCGGCCAATGACCTCCCTGAAAGACGTTTCTCGCGCACGGCTTTTAAAGGCTTCATGGGCAGGGACATTAACAACCTCGCACCTGTAGAACATAGAAAACAACCCACAACCCACAAGTTTTTTTTTAACTAGTGGTAACAGGTACATTAGCCCATGACATCAATTTGGACGAACACAGAGCTGGCCAGTGATAGATATGCGAGTCGTCCTATTCACAAATCTTACCGTGCTCGGGAGCCCTTTGAGGAAACTCGCCCTTCTGTCGCGCCACTGCGCCAACGTCCACGGACGATTCGAGGTTCTGGACCTCGGCCACGGCTGTGTCGCTAACCAGCTCGGTGCAGCTGAGTCGCTTGGCAAGTCGATGGGTTCATGAAGCACCATTTCTCGACCCGTACTGAGGACAGATGCTCGATCACCCTGTTCGGCACCGCAACAGGTGGACGGAGAATCATGATCTTTCCGCTTTGGATCCATCTTAATGTTAACGGCCACCTCACCGCCTTCCATGGAGGATTCGACGTTCTGCATCTCGGCTACGCCTGAGTCGCTAACCAGCTCGGTGGCTGCGGAGTCGTCACCCAACTCTATGGCTTCATGAAGCACCATTCCCCGAGCGGTGCTCAGGACAAACGCTCGACCACCCTGTTCTTCAAAGCAACGGGTGGGCAAAGAATCACCATCTTTCCGTTGTGGATCCGTCCGAATGTCAACAGTCACCTCACCGCCTTTCTCATCGCCATGAACCTGAGCTTCCACCGAGGGTTCTTCTTCGTCTTCATCGTCGCCAAGAACGAGAGCTTGCACGGACGTCCACTTACCTCCGTTAACGACACCCTCTCGCGTCGTGGCCACAGCCGAGCGACTCTGCAGAACCTCTTCGGACGTCCCGATCACCAGCGCTCGTGCGTGGAGCCACTTCACGTCTTCAGGAGCCGGCCCATTTCGAGTCTCCGCTCCCCGTTGTACAGCATGTGTTTCCCCCGGAGCTCCTGCACTCTCGCTGTCAGTGTCCACGGGCGCACCCTCCGAAGCATGACGTTCACACTCGCTACCCCCGGTCTCCAACACTTTGCGAGACTGCCAGCGTTGAGTCTCCTCTTCCCGATCTACAACACGCGTTCCCGGAGAGCGCTCGTCTTCCCGAGGAGTGTGACGTTCGTTCTCGCTACCCCCGGTATCCAACACTCCTGGAGCGGGCCCCTCCAGCATGTCGTGAGACCGCCAGTCTCGAGTCTCAACACATGAGAAAGGAGGCGAGCAGGGTAACCCTATGTCCAACTGAAGATGCGGGGGCTAGGACGTCACATTTTCTTGGCCCCGAGGAACTGTTGCGTGAGGAGCACTTAACACGTTATTCGTTAAAATAGGACATTATACTGTATCCTCCTTCTAACGAACTTATTTTTGGCTGCAGCCTAAGCAACGTAGGCATGTCCATGCAGGGGTTAACCACATGGAGAAGCGTACTTGTGAAACTTCATAAATGAAATCCCAAATGCGGAAGTGTGTTGGGATCCTTACTTGTTGAACTTCAAAAAAATGTTGGTGATCCTCTGGGGAAGTGTATTGGGATCCATACTAGTAAAACTTCATAAACGAAGAACGATTGGCACGCCAAAGGGAACCCTGTGCGAAAGTATGCCGTGATCCTTACTTGTCAAACTTCAATTTCATAAATCTGATGAAAGATAGAGTAACTATATTGTGACACTGACCTCTTTCTTACGAATTCATTTTTGACTGCAGTGTTTGTACATGGGCATGCCCGCCCAGTCGCCCCAAATGCGAAAGTTTGCTGACATCCATGGTTGTTGAACTTTTGTTAACAAAATTAGCAATGTTATTAGATTGAATTGAAGAGTATAATTCTTTCGGTTATCCCAAAGCTACACATGCACGTTCATCGTCTTGCTGAAGACGGTTGTTTAGATGTATGATGAGATCCGGACTTGTTTTTAGAAAACTTGTGACCCTGGCAGATTGGAATAGGAGTGTGTCGATATTCATACTTGTTTAACTCAAAGCTAACGTATGTGATGAGCAAGGTGTCATGATTGAACAGTTGTTGGTTAACACAACAAATTTTCATTTACTACGTTATCCCTAAGTTCGAATCTCTTCAACAATGTAACAATCGTCTCGGGTGAGACGACAGGTGTGCTTGCATAAGTCCGAATCTCTTTAACATCCAAACAATCGTCTCGGGTGAGACGATGGGTGTGTTTGCATAAATTCCGCATATAGGCACACTCATCATCTCGCCTGATATGAGGGCACTGGGATCCATACTTGTTTACAGTTAAATGTGTATTTCAATAACCAATTAATTTCAATATTTTATGTACAAGTGTAGAACTTTAAATTGTGCTCCATCACGATGAATATCCGCATTTTAAATGGTCATGCAAAGAAGGTTTGGGCATCCACTGACCAATTTCACATAAGATGAGATTTCTCATTCATCCACCAACCAGTTTCACAATCATGTTTACACTTCCTGTTGAACAAAATTCGAAACATGGAACACATTACTTCAACTAGAACAGAATTCGGAACATGAAACATTGCGTGACATGGATTACAAAGTCCGTACATGACGCAGGACATGCATTGAGCTTGCTGTAGATAACGCGAACTCGGAACGATAAAAGAAAGCAATGCCTGTGGCAGAAGGACAGTTGAATAATGTCTCGATTTACGAAATTTAACGATCAACGAATGAAACAATTAAAAAAAAAGTTTCGAAGTCAATCAAATCCATAAAAGACAACGATGTTCTAAGACACATGATGCTAATTGTCGTCTAAGAAGCGGAATATCTTTACAAGAGAACCGGAAAGGCGGTTGATCTCCATGTTGCAACAACGTTGCATACATCAACATGAACACACCACAACTTGCTCCATCCACTTGTCTCGGAACTCCATCCACCACAACATTTCCCACTATGGACTTCCAATTCCTACCCGACCGCCTATGTGATGTTTGAAGTTCCAAATACTGCACAATCAACCCGAAAACACTAAGGTAAAAACTAGAATCAGCTACAATGCGAGGAAAAGATTAAAAATTTTCGAGAACATCATCTCTCATGTTGACTGAAACGAGGATCCAGTGATCATCATCTTTGTGGACAGAAACGAAGATAATATCGTAACGAATAAAATCTACGTTTTTAGCCCACCTCTGCACCCCACCATGTCCTTGAAGTCGCAGTTTACTGAAGAATAACGAATTAAAGCTGAAGACTTGAAGGCCTGAAGAGATGCCACGTGACCCACATGTGGTCGACCTCAACAACGCCATATAGAAATTGACCACCTCATCATTCACCCTGCCGTCGATATGCAAGAGGGTGAGGAAATCTTTTGCTGCAATCCGAAATTGACCATCGCCCAGTATAGAGAGAATAGTGTTAGACGGCACCGAGCCTCACACAATGTCGTCCAAAACCCGCAAGCTCAGAGGCGCAATCGTTGCAGCGAAACTTTTCCCACGTGCTGCATTTGTTGCTAAGGACACGTGGGGTAGTGAGAAACGGAGTTCTAGGCATTGTCCTCCGGTGCATGACGTATTGCTAAGTACTTCTCATACCTGGCCTGACCCCTACTCACAGATCGTAGATATGTCCCTTTCTCTAGGCCAAGAAGGGAAAAATATTCCTCAATGGTAACAATGTACTCCTTCTTCCCGATCTCGACATCAACCCCTGATGCCTTTAACATATCCTTGTGTTTTGTACTCAACGCGGGGACTTTCTGCAATATGTGCTCTGGATATTTGGAGGACCTCCGTGTTCGAGACGACACCACCCCTGTACAATAGAAGAAAGACAAAATGGGAAATGAGAACCATACATTCGTACAGACGCAACAGTCAAGCAGGACCTCTCCGACCACAGGACCCTGATCTCGCATGGTCATGTGCACCCAGGTGCGGTTGTGCGACTGGAAAACAAAATGATTGCAACATACGAGCTTATCACTCCTGCACTTCACAAAGGAAAACCACCACAACTCTCAGAAGCCGGAGGCCAGCAATCCTCGAAGTTCGGACTGTGGCGGACTTTTCAACACACCAGCCCCACATAGACTCACCACATCACGCATCGACAGAGGAAGTTCGGATCTCGGCGGACTAAAACCGGCACTATTCCCGAGAAGGGAAAACTGTCAGTCCATCTACTTGGCCACTTTCTTAGCACCTTGGCCTACAGTCAAGCAGGACCTCTCCGACCACACGACCCTAATCTTGCGTGGTCATGTGCACGACTGGAAAACAAAACGACTGCAACATTCGAGCTTATCACCCCCTCACTTCAAGTTTTCGCCGCCCTCGACTAGCAACCCGGCCGAGTCACAGATAGGCCGACGAGCTGGAGTAGGAAGGGCTGCTGGCTGTAACATGCCGGCATCCGGAACTTCCCGTATGTACAGACAGTGTGGACAGTCGTCGTGTGTATAGCGCGGACTGTAATCCGGCGACATCCAGATGCGCAGGCGTTCTTCACGGATTACCAGTCTGTTTCTCTCTCCGCTCCTTCGATGGTGAATTTGGCGCAGGCAAAGCGAGCACGTCGAGAGCTTGACCGCCGAACCTCAATTTTTTTGGGGACGTCACATGCTGTCCTCCACTGCACTCGCCTTCCCCTTCGGCGGCAAGGGTGGCCGGCAGCACCAGAGACTTCGGCGGCGACAAAGCGAAGGCAGTTGCCACGAAAGATGCGATGTTGGCAGTTGCGCACGGACGGGCAGACACGTTGTGGTCGCCGAGGATACCGTCGATGACTTCGTCGATACTTATACGTCGATGTTTTTCAGACGGGCTGATAGCGACAGAAGCCTCGTCGAACCGGTGCTGCAAGTCGATAGCAGACGTCAGTGGTCGGACCGCATAATCTTCAGGCTCTGCGGAAAGGCTGCTGACCACTTGTGTCTCCATCTCTATTGCCGTGGCATCGTCGTCACTGTGTTCCACTTCGTCTTCTCCAGATCCGACACCCTCCCTTCCTTCAAACAAATCAATTAGCTCCGTTTCTCCCGCTTCCTCCCCTTCCACCTCTTCTTCTTCTTCTTCCTCCCCTTTTTGCACTCCCTTCTGTTCCTCCCTTTTCTCCCGTACTTCCCTCCCACAAAACTCGTCCCCTTCCGCGGTACCCATGCCGAATCTCGAGGACCGCCCTTCCGTCCCCGTCCACGCTGCCCCTCTCAATGGCACGACAATCCGTGGCCGACAAACCCCGCCCGAAGAAGTTCGGATCTTGGAGGACTTCGTGGTCTCCGTGTCGCCGGACCCTGCACTTGCAGCCTCCCGCTGCAATCCTTGCGGCCATCGCTCCCGCCCAGGCAACACCTTTCCGACGTCTCCGTCCCGCGCCACAATGCTGCGAATTTCTCGATCCTTGCTTGGATCCCCCGACCCCGAGCAGCTTCGCATTCCAGACCGCTCTGGCGGCTCCTCACCCGACGTAGTTCGGCTTTCTGGCCGAGCGACTGCCCAGAGCAACCAAGGCTGCCAACATGTCCCTTGCTGAGCCCACGGACGAAGTCTGGGGGTCAGCGGAGTGTGTCGTATGCTCGGGCCGGGTGCCTGTCGACGGAGTCCGGTTCACGGCGAAACCCGCCACCCCGGCGCTGCCTCCCGGTGTCGTGTTGCGGCCGTGAGACCCTCTCTCCCCCATAGGCAGGATTCCTTTGCCGTCCCCTGCGTCGCCACCCCCATCCGCTCCGCTTCCAGGTGACCCCCCCACAGAACCACCGTCCGGCCCACTGGGAGGGGGCACTTTCCAGTCCACCACGCCCTTCGACGGACTCGTGTTGAGCTCGTAGTAGTCCTCCGTCAATTCCAACCAGCACTTGTCCTGAAGCTCGTCGAACAGTCGATTGGCAGTGGAAATGAGGGACAGGTCGCCACGTGCTAAAATGTTATTTTCGGCCGTCACTTTCTGGAGGACCGAAATCCTCGCGAGGTGCAGGAAGTTCGACTTCGACTCGCGTGGGAATGACACCCATCCCGCGCCCGGGATTGCCATGGCCATGACCCACTCGCCATTTCGTATCGCTGGCTGGATGACTCCCGGATGCCAAACCATGTCATGGCCCCAGTCCTGCTCAGGTGAATAACGTTGCCGTTCAAGCAGGAAGTGGATGTTGTCATCCTTCCAAGACGGATGATCGGGCGAGACAACGGACCCGTGACGGAAAGCGGGTGGGGGGGCGGCCAGAGCTCTAAGTCTCTCCAGCAACTTCATCGGTGTGGTGCCCGGCGCCGGTTTGGCCAATGGTGACACGGGGTCTGCAGCGCTTGGTGATGGACCGGTCGACGAGGACCCTCGGCCGTGGTCCGCCGGAGGCGGGTCGTACTGCAGGTCGATGCTCTCCGTGTCGCTCTCCTCCTCCTTCGCGTTGGCGACAAACTTTACACCTATGGCTTCCTCGTCGTCAGTGGAGATCAGGGAAGCGTAACTGGCTAACTTCAACTGCTCTTCGGACTCTACGAAGTACAGCGATTGCAGCCTTTCCATAAACGTCTTCGCGTTCATGAGGAAGGCAAAGTGGTAGTTGTCGAGCAGTCCCAACATGTGGTCCTCTTCCTCTCGCTCAACTTGAACCACATATCCGTCTTGTTGCTCCACACCTTATCCCGTGTTGGCCTCACGACCATGAACTCACAATTGTGCCCACCCGAATTGACCTCGCTTTTCACCACCTGCATCTTGAATTGCAAAAGGTCAGAGTTCCCTTCCATTGCGACAACGTGTCGGCCGGCCTTCAGAAGCTCCCAGACGCTTCGCGCGTGCGGTTTCCCAAGGAACATGACACCCTCTCTCTTCTTGCCAAGAAAATCAAGAAGACCGACGAATTGGGTCGGATTGCGTTCCATATCCCCGTAGGCGCTGCCCTGTCGTTCAGGCGCCACCAGCGACCAGTCGCAAGGCGTGAAAGGAATCTCAGACACATCCGTCTGGGCGACCCTCTGAGGCAATCGCACTGCAGCAATGGCACCCGTGGGCAGGTGTCCCTCGTACACCACGGACGTGTTGACGCGCAGATCGTCACCCTTGAAGAGGATGTACATGCGGTCTTCCTCCGTGTACAAATTGTTCCCAACGGGGAAGCTTTTTTTTTGCTGCACTCTTCGCACCCACTTCCCTTCCAACAACTTGACGAAAGAAAGATAGTGCATGTTGGAAAGAAACGACAGGTTGTGCTGCCGCGGCACGAAAACAACGAGAGTCCAATGCGAGGGACACCACGTCTGAAGATAGGAATTCAAAGTCTCGCACTATTGGGGCTTCCACAGTTTGAGGTCAAGCGGCTCGCACAGATCGAGGACGAACGTGTTGCTCTTTGTGGCAGCCACTGCCTCCTTCAACTCTGCGCCCATGATGTCCGCCTCTAAAGGGTCATTGGCAAACAGCACGATGGATGTCACATCCCCTGTGTCTTTCCATTTAATGTGAACGACGCCTTCGGCAAGTGCGACTTCCCGGCTCTTCAGTTTGCTTCCATTCAACACGGAGAAAATCTTGTTTCTCCTGTCGACGGACAACTTCTTATGGCCCGCCAGCTTCTTCGTCACCTCAATTGAGTTGTCCTCGTCAGAACCCATGTACGGCGCGCAGTCGTTGAACAACTCCGAGTCGGAAACGTGTTTCCTGCTGTTATCCCACAACTTGTCATCCAATCCCTTACCTTCGAACTTCTTGAACACGGCAGACCTCGATTTCAAGAAAGGGTACCTTTGGATCCAGTCCGCGTCCGGCCTCTTCTCGTGCTTGAATTGGTAGTAATTCCACAACCGGACCAGCACGCGGTCGCACTTCACCAGCTGCACCATGTCCTGCACGCTGAGCTTTCCCAACTTCGCCAAAGACAGGGAGTCGGCCTGGACCCAAACGACCTCGCAAGCAAGCACCTTTTTCAGAACGCGATACTTCTCATTGTCCGTGAGTGATTCTATTGTTTTCCAACAATGCGCGTCCGGGTTTGGCACTTGCACGAGCCAATCGCCCTCCTCTTTCTCCTTTTTGCCCTTTTTATTCGACGGGTCCACGGGGATGTTGTACACCTCCTCCGTTCTGCCCAATTTGTCGTTGTGGATGTAGGCGACCCAAGGCTTTACGTTTTTGACCTTCTTCTTTTTGACGATCCACTTAGCCCCGTCGTGCCTCAGCAATCTGCCCGTCTTCCATTTTTCAAAAAATTCCACGACCAGTTTCCAGACATTTTCCCTGGCCATCGCCAGAGGTAAGTAAGAACRCAGGGCAACATTTTGCTTCTTAATGACCTCCTCTTCCTTTTGATCCGCGAGAAGCCACAAACTGTTTTGAGGCGCCTTATGGAGCGCCGTTGTACAAAACTTACGCCAATCCCGGACCTGATCTTGTTTCCCGCTAGGGTTCCCCATCACAGCTCCTGGGCAGCTGTCATGCTTCCACTGCCATCGAATGTCTTTCATAAAAAGTTTCAACTGTCTGGGAGGTGCCTTGAGGTCCTTCTTGTTCTCCTGTGAACTAACAAGAAAATACCCTTCGAAGTCATCGTCGGAAAAGTACACCATCCGTGCCGGCCACCGCTCGAAATTGTACTTCTTGGCCACCTCGCTGCCGAGCATCGACCGGGCTGCAGCCGCGTTGTGCTGCCCGCACACCGCGTAGTAGTAGTATTCTCCCTCCAACTCGTTCTTCCACTCCTCCGACTTCAGACGTTGTGCCTTGGTCCCAGGAGTAGGTTTTTGAAGCCCCAGTGGTGCGAGCTTGAAGACCGAGCTTGAAGACCGGCAACTCGTACGTCTGTTCTTTATTTTCGAACGCAGACTGCATTGCTTCCCTTATCGTTTCCACGAGGACGGGATCTAGCGACCGCTGGTTGTAAAGATCCTCCCACTCCCTTATGTCGACGATCTGAGTCGGGCGGATGTCAACCTCCCGCCTTGTCTTGACGCCGTCTTTGTACTCCAGGAAGTACCCGGCGTCCACGTTGATGGCAGGCCGTGGTGTAGAAGGTCCCGACTCAGGCTATTTATGTTTCGAAGCTGGACGTTTGCTACCCGGGTGGCCCTCTTCTACCCCCCTCCCCTTCCGTTTCTCTCCCACAGTCCTCGGGGTCTTTGTCTTCTGTTTCTTCGAAGAGCCCACCAAGTCTTCCTGACATTCTCCCCTCCTTTTTTGGGGAGTGCCCTGCGCTCCCTCCCCACCCACGGCCTCGGCTTCCGCGCCATGGCCCTCGGCAGGCTCCAAGTCAGACCCACACAGGACTCCCTCTTCTCCGGGATCCGCTGCGGTCTGTTGCCGGACCCCAGGTATGGACAGCACGGACCTGTCTTTTTCCCTCGACGGCGAAAACGGAGGACGTGGTGTGGCCTCATCTTCGCTGCCGTCAAACAAACCTCTGGCATCCTCCCGCTGCACATGAGTAGCCTTCCCGGAACCCAGATCCCCCCCCTCCCGTGCTGCCCTGCTCGACTCACAACCGCCGCACGGATGCAAAGGCATTGACAATTCCAAGTCGTGGCCGACTTCGCAAGGGACGTCAAAGGCGATGTCCTTGTCCTCCAACAAGTCAAAGAACTCTCGACCCAAAACAAACCCGCCCTGCCGTCGGAGGTCGTCGTAGAACGGGGTGTCGCAGCACCCGCTCCGAACCCCTTGAATAGACACATGTCCAGAATCGCCCCCTTGGCACCGGCGATGACGTTCCCCTTCGCACCGTAGACATTTTTCATGTACAACCGTCGACGACTGCCTTTCGTATTCTCCACTGCAAGACATCCCCCAGTACCCTACGCCGCTTGTTGGCTTTGACGAAGATCACAGGACCACACAGCTGTTGTGCTGGGTTTGATGCATCCCCACAACACGAGTTGACGAACCATTTCGACGTAGCGTGGTCGGACTACGTCCTCGAGGTCGTAGACGACCGTTTTGTAGAATCTTTCCCAGATCCCATCCCGAAGGTCGCCGCAGGCTCCCCTTCACCCCTGGACGAAGACATATTGTCTGCGGACGACAACGGAAAACAAATAAAACACCAGCGAGCGTCAAATCTTAGTCAAAGTACAACGCAGGCGAAAAACACAGGAGGCACACCTTGCCCTCAACACGTCGGTCACATGACGCCATCCGAGGACCTCGAAGTTTGGATCCCGGCGAACTTCGAACGCGAAGACCAGCAATGACCTCTTACCTGCAACGAGATCATTCTTTACAAGGGCACACGCTTCATGCAGCCGGGCGACAACCACGTCAGTGTTTTCGGAACACGGATGTCGACCGGATCGGGAATGGACGGGAGGTGACGCACAAAGCCCGCGTTGGACGGGTAGTGTCCTCCGTTTAGCAATAGGAACCCGGACAGTTCAGGACGCGAAGTTCGCTGAGATCCGTACTAAAAGTGCCTGTCCAAAGACAAACCAACGCACCCACCGAAACGTGAAGTTCGCCGGGATCCGAACTTCAGAACGATGCGACAGGCAGAGACAGCATCAAAGACACACGGTCCATGGACTGAACCACGACCCGGAAAGGCCGCACTAACACAAAAGGCCAGGTTGAAAACGACAAGTTCGCCGAAATCCGAACTTCTTCTGATATGCGCAGCTTGGCATTGGATCAAGCCAAGTTCGAACGCAGCAGCTGCGACAACATTGTATGAGTCCCTGGAGGGGCAGTTGTGGATCACGGTTGACTCGTGTCGCAATCCACGGGGGATCATCAAGCCCAGCACCCGTTCAATACACAGGCGTCAGAGGAAGTTCGTCGGGATCCGAACTTTAGGAGGCTGCGATAGAGACAGACAGAAAGTTGGGGTCCTAGCAAGGTGTCCTAGCAAGGTGTCAACGGGATTTCCAACAAGAGGGCCCGCCAACCGGGATCTCCAACGGGTTTCAGGAAACGCGAAGCTCGCGCGACCTTGCGACGGGGATCTCTAAGAGTGCTTTTGGTATCTCGCAACGACAGTGACCGACTGTTTGGCACATGTTGATGGTGGACGGGCGAAAACCGGTTACGGGCAGATCCTTCTTGCGGTGATGGGTCTTTCCCGCGGCCCGCCCGACGCCAATGACACCAGAGACAAATTAACAGAGAGGCCAGAACGCGAAGTTCCCCGAGATCCGAACTTCGCCGGGGCACGACATAAAAGGAGACGGCGTTAGAGACAGACGTCCAACATGACTTTCGTCATATCACTGAACTGAACGACGACCAGGGATTTGCACGACAAGCGCGCGGTGCAACGTGTACCAGCAACCGCAGAGTCTCACGCTTCTCTACAGTCCTACAAATCTGACATTTCAGGCAGCACAACCGCATCTCGTCCCTCGCCGTTCTTTTCCCTCAAACAGAAGGACTAAAGATCGGTTCGGATGAGGCGATATTTTGGGATCCCCCGGGACGGCGTCGTGAACCGAAGCCAAACAAAGCATTTAGTGACGATCCACACGTTCAGGCCCACGCATCGGCACGAATTTGGACCCTTCAATCACAACCTCGTTGCGCGACACGAGCACAACTGCGTCGATGAGTTTCCTACTCTTGTTCGAAGCAGCGACACACAGAACTCTGGCGAAATCAGATCCGGACACAATCAACCGCACACAGCAGTACGACACAGCTCGTGGAGAAATCTCGGGGCTACGGAGCAGGTACTGGTCCAGGAACGAGCAGCGACGAGCGCAGTCCACCAACTCTTGTTTCCGCGAGCCCCCCCAAGTTCGTGGCGACGACCTTAGTGCTTTGCGCATATGGTTCAGGAACTTATGTCCGAGGACAGCGTCAGGCAGTGGGATGAGGTCCCCGAACTCCAACATATTCGCGAACTTGTACTGGTTTGCCCAAGGGCAGTGACTCTCCATATTGGCCCAATTGCCCTCGCCCCAGTCGTCAGGATGCGCGTCCATGCAAGGGACAACGGTCATCCATGGGTCCTCGTCGAAGTCCTCTGCGGTCGCTCCGTGGATCGTTGTCACACCGTTGAAAAGCCGCACGGATTTTGCACAAGGACGAAAAGGTTCTGCTAAGCGAATGTGCATCTCGACACTCATGGCCCGTAGTGTCGAGAAGATCGACTCGAAGATGCGTGGTGTCAAGAAGGTCCCCTCCATCACGCAATCTGCACACCACGCGCACATGCCCGACGACACACACGGGCACGGAGACACTCGTAAACGCATCATTTCTCGCGATGTGCGACCCATGGTATTAGACGCAGCGTATGATCCAAGATCCGAGTTCAGGTGGCCGGCTTCATCGGTGTTCACATCTACCGGCCCGCAGGCCAGCCGCAAACATGCCCCGTGACTTGTTCGCCTAGATCCGAACTTGGCGAGACTGCGCGGGAAAGACGAAGCTGTCTCCCAAACTCGACGTCCCAAACTGCCACGAAGTTAGGATCCAAGCGGATTTCAATTTCGTACGAATAAAAAGTTGTGGCAATCCACGGGTCGCCTGGAAGTCCACAGCCTGAACCCGCAGCACCCGAAAGGTGAAGTACTCCGGGGTCCGAACTCGACGGTTTTCCGACGAACCGTGCACGGGAAGTTCGGATCTCAGAGGACTTCGCATTTTATAGAATCCGAAGTCCGCCGTGATCCGAAATTGACGATTGTCCGAGGAACCGTGCACGGCAGGTTCGGATCCACGGCCCAGCAGGAACATCTCCTACCACATGCATTGCGAAAGGAAGAGAGCTCAAATTCGCCGGGAGACGAACTTGGCGAGATCGCGCGGGAGATACACAGCAGGCGAACCCGACGATGGGACGAGGAACCTTTGCAAGTGAAGTACGGACCCCGGCGGACTTCGCAGTTTTGCGAACTAAAAGTTGTGGCAAACACCCGTTCGCGAAAAAGGACACAGTTAAAACCCACACCATGCGCGACGCGAAGTTCACCGGGGTCGGAACTTGCCACGCGAGGTCCGGATCCAAGGGAGGGTTTGGGCGTGGGTTTGGCGTGGTTTCAGTGCAGGAAACCGGGCACGCGAGGTCCCGATCCACGGGAGGGCAGAGGGGAACCTGGTGTTCGCCGGGATCTGAACTTCTAGAGACCGCGTGGGAGAGAAACAACCGACGAACTACACATTTTTTCAAATACAAAGTTGTGTCAAACCCCGGGAGCTAGAAACCCCTCGTTCTGAACCAGCACATTGAGACAACCAAAGTCGTCGGGGTGCGAACTTGACGTATGTGCGAAGAACCGTGTAGTAGAAGTCCGGATCCTGGCGGACTTCGCATTATCACGGATCCGAGGTTCGTCGAGGTCTGGACTCGACGAGTGTGCAAGGAATAGTGCGAGAGAGGTTTGGATCCGCAGGCCAGCAGGAACCGGCGGACTTCTAGTTTTCCACGTCCCTGGTTGTGGTTGCGCACTGGGGTTGAGAAGCGTGTTCGAACAGCTGCACAAGCTCGCCGGGATCCCAACTTCTTCCGGTGTTTGATTGCGCGATCAGTTTGGTTGGAACGGCCACGTTCCGATCACGAGAGTAGTGTCGGCGATGCGTGGGGCGGTGGGTGCTCAACGTTCGCCGTTCAGTGACCGTCAAGTGTCGACGACCCTGCGTCCTCCAAAGTTCGACGTCCGACGAGGTTCGACGCCCACCGAGGTTTGATGTGGAGCGAGGTTCCATGGGCGGCATGGTTCGATGTTATATGAGGTTCGATGTGCAACAAGATTGTGGCGAAGTCGCCAGGGTGCGAACTTGACGTCTGTGCGAGGAACCGTGCAGTAAAAGTTCGGATCCCGGCGGACTTCGCATTATCACGGATCCGAGGTTCGCCGAGGTCCGGACTCGACGAGTGTGCAAGGAACAGTGCAAGCGAGGTTTGGATCCACAGGCAAGCAAGAACCTGAAGTTCGCCGGGATCCGAACTTGGCAAAATTAGGTGGGAGATACACACCTGTCTGCCAAACTCGCCGTCCTGCAATTTCTTGAAGTTCGGATCCCTGCGGACGTCGAATTTTTCCACGTCCCAGGCTGTGGTTGGGGACCGGGGTTGTGAAGCGTGTTCGAGCAGCTGCATGAAGTTCGTCAGGATCCGAACTTCGCGAAATTGCGTGGGAGATATACACCTGTCTGCCAAACTCACCGTCCAACAACTTCTGGAAGTTCGGATCCCGGCGGACTTCAAAATTTTACACGTCCCAGGCTGTGGTTGTGGACCGAGGTTGCGAAGCGTGTTCGAACAGCTGCATGAAGTTCGTCGGGATCCGAACTTCGCGAAATTGCTGCCAAACTCGCCGTCCAGCAATTTCTTGAAGTCCAGATCTTGGCAGACTTCTAGTTTTCCACGTCCCTGGCTATGGTTGCGCACCGGGGTTGAGAAGCGTGTTCGAACAGCTGCACAAGCTCGTCGGGATCCCAACTTCTTCCGGTGTTTGATTGCGCGATCAGTTCGGTTGGAGCGGCCACGTTCCGATCACGAGAGCAGTGCCGGCGACGCGTGGGGTGGTGAGTGCTCAACGTTCGCCATTCAGTGACCGTCAAGTGTCGACGACCCTGCATCCTCCAAAGTTTGACGTCGGACGAGGTTCGACGCCCGCCGAGGTTTGATGCGGAGCCAGGTTCCATGGGCGGCATGGTTCGATGTTATACGAGGTTCGATGTGCAACAAGATTGTGACGAAGTGCTTTTTATTCGTTCGCATATCGGGATCGACGTTTTTCCGATCGGTTGTGTGTTTCGTTCGCCGGTTTCGATCGTGCACATGATCATTTGCCTTGAGGATTCTCTGCGATCGTTCTCCACGATCAATGTGCACAGAATAGTCGATTGGTCATGAAATCTGCCAGGATCAACTGGTTGATCGGCTGCTCGGTTGGCGGTTGGTGTGGTGGTTGATCAACCAGCAGAGCAATCTCCAAAAGAGTAGTCGACCAATCAGTTGATCCTGGCAGATTTCCTGACCGATCGACTGTTCGGTCGAGGACTGTTAGGTGGATAAATAAACAGGTCGCTCGCTGGCGGGTTGATCTTCGGTGCAGCACACACGATCAATCATCCGATCGCAAGTAATCTTCTGTCGTTTCGCGATTGGTCGGTTGGATGCGTTGTCGCCTCGTGCATTGTTTAATCATCCGTCGGGCAGATCAGCGGCGATGTTGTTGGGGAAGCAAACAGCATCTATCACCCGATCGCGAGTGGTCGGCTTGTGTTTCGTGATGGGCCGGTTCATCACGTGTGTGGTGTACATATTTTCATGGATCTGATCGACCATCCGATCACGAGTGATCTGAACACACACGACAGAAAGAACAACACACACGCGGTGGTAACGTCAACACGGCAGACACGATCAATCATCCGATCGCAAGTAATCTTCTGTCGTTTCGCGATTGGTCAATGGATGCGTTCGCTGTGCCGACATTGCCACCACGTGTTTCGATTGATCATCCATTGGGCAGATCGGCGGACATGACATTGGGATAGCACACAAAACCAATCGGGTATGGCAAGTGCTCACGATGACGTTGTGTTTCGTTATTGGCCGCCACTTGTTTTATCCGAGCTTCCGTGCTTCGTTACTTGAGTACAGCACGAGCGCAATCGTTTTTTGATACTTTCCTTACACATCCACACACATGCGCCGTTCGTTCCTGATTGCAGCAGAAGCGGAATCGAAGGGAAAAACAATGACGTTCATCCCTGACCGCGCACGTTCGCGCGCATCTCCCCGCAAAAAATGTGCGCGAACACATATGCACCCGAGCACATATGCACAGACAGGCACACGCACGCACACACACACACACACACACACACACACACGCGCCTACACACGGTGCCCACACACACACGCCCCTCAGGTACAGACGCGCGCACGATCCTGCCTCGAGCGTGTGGCACACACTTCAATACAAACACAAACACAAAGGAACACACAGTCGAACACACACACACACAATGAAGCATGCACAAACACACAATCGCACATAAACACACACACACACACACGCCCACCCGCACACATGCAGCCACGAAATCTTTCGATCTGCGCAAACATTTCGTCACAAAAAACCTCCCCCCCACGCGCGCACATGGAAACATACGTCCCGACTCGGTGCACACTCACCGTGTGGAACTGCCAAGTGAAGATGAGTGTGAACCTCGGCATTTGTCGTGACGACACTTTGTCCACCTTTGGGCGTGCTATTCGCGTTTGCTAGGGTACTGCGTGGGGTGGCGGTCGCGCCTTTCGAGAAAGGAGATCGGAAGCAACGTCGAATATGACGTGGACAGAGACTTGGTAGGCGAAGGGACATGCGAGGGCATGTGGGCTGCGTCGGTGCCACGAAACGTGCGCGGTGAAGAATGGTTGTGCTAGCTATGTCGCGCCAGCTGTTGACGACAGTGGCGGTGCGTGGCCTCCGTCGGGCAGCATCTCCCCAACAAAAAGGCAGAACGCATCGTCAATGCCCAGGGCGCCGCTCGTATTTGTAGGCGCGCGGGACACGAGGCCCCCTCGGGCCTTCCGTTTTGGATTTCCGTGCAGGGTCCGCGCGCCGACGCGCGACTGTTTGATCCGCGCATCGAACGGTGGCTGCACGTCGAAATTGTCGCGAGGGGGGCCTGGTGCTTTGAAATGTGACAAGAACGTCCCTACGGGCTAGCCCTTCCCGGACGTCATTGGAAAATGGGCCCTTGTTCTGGGCTTCTCGCGTTTGTGTCTTCGGGTTCGCGGGCCTCGGTGGAGGGGGTCTCAGGTGTCGCGGGGGGGCAGTTTGTACTTTCGAGGGGTGAGGGGGGAGAACCGCGGGAGGGGGGAGGGGGGAGGGGGCCCGGGGGAAAGGGGAGGTTAGAGGGGTTCGCGGCCATTCGCGTCTCCTGGCTGGCGAGGGGGGTCTGTGGCCGTGCGGGGGGACACGGGCGGGTCTTTCCATGGGGTGCGACGACAGTCTGACGCTCAGCTGCCTCGAGTCAGGGGCAGCCCTTTCGCATCTCGAGCCTGACGAGCGCATTCGCGCTCGACGTCCCGTCAGCGACATCCTCCATCGCCTTTTCTGCTCCGCTGTTATGCCAGGCGGCGGCGAGCGTAGGCACAGGGGTTTCCTCTCGTCGACAACTGTCGTTTGTGCTTCGGTTGTCTGCGCTTTGACATCTCGTCTCTGCGTCCTGCGTCAGCAAGTGGCCACCGCCGTCTGCGCTGAGCCCTTGTCGAACAGTTGCGCCATCGTGTGCGCTTCACCGTCGTCGAAGAACTGTGAGCCGTCAAAGAGTTGCGCCATCGTGTGCGCTGTGCCCTCTTCAAGGTAAAGTGTTGTTCTGCCTGCCCACGTGTCAGGCGTCAGGCATGTTTGTCGGCCCATGGGAGCGGCCGCATCGCGCCACCTGTTTCAAATTGCGGGGACGGAGGGAAAGGATGTCGGTGACATTGGGCCACATGGTTTCTGTGTCCCCTTCTGATTCCCTCTCGTTCTTTCCTCGCGAGCGGCCCCATGATTCTTGCTTGCCATCATCATCATCATCATCGCCTCCATCATCACCATCATCGTCGCCACCATCATCATCGTCATCATCTTCATCATCATCATCATCAACACCATTATTGTCATCGTGATTATCATCATCTTCATCAACATCATCATCATCATCTACAACATCATCATCAACATCGTCAACGGCATCAACATCGTCATCATCATCAACATCATCGTCAACATCATCAACATCATCAACAACATCATCATCATCAGCGACATCGTTGCCGTCATCAAAATCACCACCATCGTCATCATCAACATCGTCATCATCGTTGTCATCATCGTCATCATCATCATCGTCATCATCACCATCATCATCATCACCAACATCATCATCGACATCATCATCGTCATCAACATTGTCATCATCATCAGTGACATCGTCGTCCAGATCAACATCACCACCGTTATCGTCACCATCATCGTGTTTATCACCGTCGTCATCATTATCATCATGTCGTGCCACGTGTCGCAGTTGGCTGGGACGGCGGGAACGGATGACGTGGACATCGGGGCAGACGGTTTACGTGTCCCGTTCTGCTTCTCTCTCATTCGTTCCACGCGACCACCCCCACGATTCTTGTTTGGCTTGGTATTGAAGAAAAAGGGCCATTGATCACAAGCTGAACATTGCAAACCACTCCCGCACGGTCGAGGCAAACACGAAATCGCCTATTCCCATTAGAACACTAAACCCCTTCGAAACACTTCCCTCACACGTTTGTTGTTCTCATCAAAGAGATTAGAGGTTGGTTATCACAAAGGAGACGGATGGGCTCCGCGCGACCACTGTTGGTACTAAGTGTCGCGCGGTGGCCAAGGTGGGAAGGATGTCCGCCGTCCACGTTGCGTGCAGGGAGAGGTAAGGTATTCATAAACAGGAGGGGGTCGTCGTTCCGTGTTTGTGTTCTCGCTGCAACACTTGAGCCTCCCCCCCCCAAGAGACTATGGCGTCAATCCCGGGAGAGTTGTTGTCGTCTCCATCCCGCGCACACAACGTGCACATGATCCACCAGAGAGGCCATGGATGTTGAGCGCGCGCTCCTGGCGCTGGTCGTGAGGGATGCGATATTGCATTCCGTACGACAAATGCCAGGACTGTGCGCGTAACATCCGCGGGCTCCAAAACGAAGAATGCACACGTTGTGTGCGCGCGATGGAGAACACCTGCACCGCTCGCCGCAATGACGATGGCGTTTCTTCGGCGTGAGCGCCGCATGTTTCGTGACGACAACCTCGACACGAAAACATGGCCTCGTTCAATAACGAACAACCCGGCCGCCTCCGGGAAACGTCTCAGTCATCGGGGCAGGGGGGGTCGCCATTGTTACCGCAAGCTCGAAACCAACAATAGCCAAACAAAAAACGGCGCGTGGCGTGTGGTTGCCTGGCGAGATGGGAAGTTAGGATCCCAGCGAACTACAGCAATCATGCGCAGTGCTCTCGCGAAAGCAGCAATCTGTTGTCGTCGCGCGGCCGCAAGGAGAGCACGCGCAGGTACGAAAATAGCGCATGATTGTTGTAGTTCATCGGGATCCGAAGTTTCCATTTCGGCAGGCTTTCACACGCTACTCCACGTTTTTTGTTTGGCGGTTGTTGGTTTCGCGTTCGCAGTCACAATGCCATCCCGGGTTGCCCTGATGACTACGTTTTGCAGGACACAGTTTCCAGCTTTCGGGCGTGGGGTCGATAGTTCATAACGCCATGCCAGTTGTCAGCGTGCGACGAAGTTCGGATCCCGGCAGACTTGCAATCTGAAGCATGCGAAGTCGCGAGCTGCTCAGATGATTATTGTTGTTTCGACCGCGTCGCTGAAATAAGACGCTTATGGTTTGCATGGATCTTTTCAGAGTCCTGGTTGCATGACTGTTCTTTTGGTGGCGTTGCCGCAAAAACACAGTCCTGCCAACGGGACCCCAGCAAAAACAAAGTGTTTAATGCTCCCGGTCGAACGTGGCAACCGATCTGAAGTTCGGATCCGGGCGGACTTCGTGGTTGGCACCCGTTCGTGGTCCCATGAGCCTGGCTGTGGAACCTGCCATTGCCTGTGTGCGAGCTCGCCTTGTCTGCGGTACTAATCGGGGGTCCACCAGCCGCGGTCTTTTTTTTCTGTGCTTGCAGTCATTGTCATCAAGGATGGCAACATTTGCGACTGGATCGCCGCAAGTGCTCGCTTTGTCGATGAGGAGAATCGGTGTCCATGGGGGTCTATTGGGGGCTGTGCTGCGCCAATTTCCGACGTGGTGCACCTGCGACGACCATTTCTGTTGTGCGTGCTCTGTTGGAACAAACACTTGTGAGCAGCAGCAGGGCCTCCCTGACCATGCAGCCAAGCCTAGCGTTCCTTCTGTGCCATTCCACACCGGTCATCCAAATATCCGTCGTCCCCCGCGCAAACCGGTTCCTAGCCAGTCCAGCAAGCGCCAAGTTCGGATCCGGGCGGACTTTGAGGTCCCACGTAAATTTAACCGTTGTTTCCGACGGCCACGACTGTCGAGTGTGTTCTGATTATCAGAGGCCTCCGGGCACGCAAAAGTGCTCGCATGAGGCCTGAAGCTTCAAGTGCGAGTTGATTGCGCGAGGACTGTGGGTGCGAAAAATTCTTCACCTTCTGAGATGCCCTTTGAGGGGTTTGTGGGGGTTGCTGACGGTGATAGCGGCCGTATCCCTTGTCGGTGCCGTCGATCTTTGTTGCCCCTAGAGGGTTTTGACCGTCCTGGTGCGCGGATGCTTCTCGCAGACATGCTCGTGTTTCTGCGTGGTTTCCGGTTCGTGCTTTTGCACGTCGACGTTACCGGCGCGAGAATTGGGGGTCGCCTTGTCAACTGGCCAAATTGGGGTTTGGAAGGGTTGTAGGGGGGGTCTTTCATCAATTTCTACATTTTTCTTGTCTGCGCGGTTTGCGATGTCCGAGCTCGATGAACTCTTGTACTAGGGGTCAGTTTGGGGTCGTGCTGCGCCCGATTTTGTGGTGGTGCATCCACCGCTGCCTTTTGCTCTGCGCGTGCTAACATACAACGACAACTTGAGAGCGGCAGAGCCTTCCTTCTGTGTGGCCAAGCATAACGTTCCTTGTCTGCACCCACTAGCGCTGCGTTCCACCGACACCGGCCGCGCAAAAACAGGTTCCTTGCTACTCCAGCACCGGCCAAATTCGGATCCCAGAGGACTTCGAGGCTCCGCATGAATCTGACCGTTGTTTTCAACGGGTTGGACTTCTCCGTCCGTCTTCAATGCCGGTGGCCTGGTAGTGCGCGAAATTGCTCGCCTTGTGAGTTGCCCTGAAAGGGGTTTATTGGGGTTGATGACGGTGTTGCTGGCCGGGTCCATTTCCGGTGTGTCGTGCATCTTCGTTCATCGACGCCCCAAAATGAGGTGCACCCGAGCATCGCCTGCTTCTGTGCACCCCAACTCTATCGGGAAGACGTGCACTAATCGCTCTTGTCCCCTCCATCTACACTCCCTTCACTGGATGGACCTTCACCAGATGGATTCAAATCGAGAAGTGTAGCTTCAGCATTCAGTCGAACACTGGAAGGAATGACAAGTCCAGTTGTGAATGGTGTTGTACCACGGACCGGTCTCACCCAACCAAAAGCGATCGAGTCAGCATCCTGCCATTGTGTCTGGTCAGTCATTTTCCATCATTTTTCCCATGCGTTCTCATACAATTGTTCGAGCGACTTTGCTCTTCCAGTCGGCACCCAATATTCCACTAGCACTTGATTATAATTTTGCGAATTACAATGAACAACCACCCGAGAAAGAGCTTTGCCCACCCAGATTGGCACACCGCTGGACAGATGATCGTCGGAGGGGCGAAGGATAAGAAAAGTACCGACGTCGACATGCACGAGGGGGTCGAAACTAGTCCTCGGGCGATTTTTTCTTCGTCCAACAAACAACGGTTCGATGTCATCGTCGATGTTGACACTGTGAGGAGAAGGTTGTTGATCGATTTCGAGCAGCCGTGGTCGTGGCCAAAAACTTCCCTGGGGTTGCGAGGACAACCCGTTCGCGATGATCTCATCGCCATGTTTGATAACCTCCTCCCAATAACACAAAGCTCTTTCTCTCCTACTCACCTCATGGTCATTGCAAGTGCACCACGTCGACCGCCTACTTTCCAGCAACTCACGGAATCGAACAACACCATTTTTGCCATTCAAATAGTCATTTCGAGGAAGGGGTTGCACAAGCGGCGGGTCAAACGGCCATGAAGGACCAGCATACCTTTCATCGGGGTTTTGATTGAACAAAAAAATCGGACCTTCCTCGGACAACCATTCTTCGTCATCGCAAAACTCCTTGTACAACATACCCGGAGTATCTCCAACCATCAAAAATTTAAGCAAGTACGGTTTTGAAATACCGGTAATGTCTGACGCAACACACGGGTCCGCTATACTAATCCAATCTTCCATTGTATCGAGGAAAATACATTTGGGAGGCTTTTTGTGGGATTGCTCTATGAGCTCGAAGAACTCGTCCATAGTATAAGCGTCTACGTCTTTCAATTTCTTTGAGAAAACGCTGAAAGTAGCGTCAATGCCTGTATGGGTGTGTCCCACCAGCATGAGACCTATTTCTACCTCTTCAAAAACTTTGAACTTAACCAACAGTGCAGCCACGGCACATATGTACTTGTTTTTGTTTTCCCGCCAACAATTATCTGCTTGAATGCGCAAAAACTGTGGCAGTGGCGTCCCGCTCCCTTGAATTTCGACAAGGGTTCTCATAACACAAGTAGCGACCGTGTTGGAATCGTGTTTGAAATACGGAAACCACGTGTACACATATATACTAGGGTCTCTGCCGTGTGCAATGATGCCTGTCAGATTAGTCTTCATCATCATCTCGTGCCTAAGTGCTTTTGAGTAGTTCGCTTGACCAATATGGGGGATAATTGTTTTCTTCTGATCCATGCCGTCAATGATAAGACACAAATGCTCGTTCGGACGAACTATGGAATCAGTTTTCGCTCGACTGTAGTCCAATCTGTGTTCAACTTGCCTCCTTTGGTGTGCTCCATATCCTCTCGAGCACGTTCTCGATCTCGAGGAAGAGCAACATATTGTATACGTTCCTTCAGTTCATGACAGACGGCGCACTTCGTGAACGTGTTAGATTGCGCGAGGGAAACGTGGAAAAAGTGTTTCCGCCATCACTTATAAAAGTTGGACTCATACACGACATCGAGGCTAGTGGCCAGAAAGTCGGATTTGATGGACTCATAAATTGATCTCTTCGTAAAAGCAGCCGGGAGTCGAAGCTTCGGTCTGGAAACCCCATCTTGGTTTGCCACCTCATTCGGCATGCTATCCGCATGACACTCGATAAACGTTCTCATGCTGGCAAGCATGGCGACCGTTTTATTGGTTGGCCTATATTTTTCCGTCAGGCCATGCTTGGAACGCACGTACCCATTGTCGAAACACTTTTTGTAGCTGTAAAATATATTACGTGAGACACCGAGTACATTGCAGTACGCCCTGATGCACATTGAACGTTCCAACTCCACAGGGCGGACACGTTTCTGTCCACTCTCATTTACTGTGAAATCCTTAATACTTTTCATCCACCACTCAGCTCGCTCTCCCGGACTCTTACTGTACAGTCCTTGTCTAACCTTTCGCACTTCCTCAGGCGATACGTCGTAACAACATCGAGCCTTGCAACATGCCATGCCGCGCACCATGAGCAGTTTTTTTTCAGACAGCATGTTTCTCGCTCTTTTATACTGTTCTTTCCTCCTAGCGTTCCTATTAGCCATGCTATACCTCCGTCTTTCGCCTGGCAGAGGTGCGGGCAAAATCTGCAGTATCGCCCATCTCTCTGCATCACCCCTGCCAGACGATTCCGACCCAGACAGGCTCTGACTTGGAATCGCATCATCACTTCGCATATGCGTTGGACTCGCCCGTGCTTTGGAAAGCTCCTCCGAAGAATAGTCGGTGGCAACCAACTTCGTAGTACTAGAGGTAGCGCGAAGCAAAGGTCCAATCGAATAGGACCGTTGTCCAAACGAGTAATTAGTGGCCACCAACCGCTCACTCGCGTCATCAGATGATGCATAAAAAACACCCATTGGCACGCAGCTGCTGTGCGCTGAAGCTGTGGGGTGCACCTCGTCAGGAATGTGGAACTCTATCCGGGAGGTAGACGGTTCTTCGGCCGCGGACGTTGTTGCCAATTCTGTAGGCAGTTGGATGCACTCTCCAAAGCTCTCACGAAAAGCGAGATTTCGTTTTCTGGGGAAATCGACAGCTGACTGTTGGAATGGCGAACTGTCCGAAAAGGTCGTCGGGGCCAACTCCAGGTGTTGTAGCTGGCAATGCAAGTCAACGGCTTGTTTAGTTTCCATAGCCCGGTTCATGCGGCCGTTCGCCGAGCCTTCTTCGGCGCCGTCATGCGATTCCCGTCAGCGCAATGGATTATTCTCTCTTGTGCGGGTTGAATGGGTCATTCTAATTCGTGTTCAAACCCTGCAAAACAGCGGAGCAAACTGTAAGCACGGTCAGATTTACGCGTTGAGGGCACAAAGTTCGTCGGGATCCGAATTTGGCGGGTGCAGGAGTAGCAAGGAACCTGTTTTCGCGCGGCTTGAGTCAGTGGAAGGTAGCGCCAGTGGGTGCACACAAGGAATGCTATGTTTGGAAGAACAGAAGGAAGGCTCTGTTGCCGGTGAACGATAGCACACGCAGAACAAAGGGTAGTGGTGGATGCACCACCACACAATTCGGCGCAGCGCGACCCCAAACTGACCCCTATAAACACCGATTCTCACCATCGTCTAAGTGAGCTCGTGTGGTGTTCAATTTCGCTGGCACTAGTGCAATAACAATCGAACACGGACATCTCCACTGCGCAGACAAAAAAAATGTAGAAAAGGATAAAAGATCCCCCCTTAAGCCCTTTTAAACATTGATTCGGCCAGTCAAGAAGGCGACCCCCGATTCGCGCGCCGGGAACGTCGACGTGCGACAGCGCGAACCGGACAACACGCGGAAACACAAGCATGTCTGCGTCAAGACTCCGTGCGAAAAATTGCTCGCCTTCTAAAATGCCCTTGAAGGGGTTTATGGGGGTTGCCGAAGGTGACAACGGTCGTGTCCCTTATATTCGGCAACCCCCATGAACCCCTTCAAGGGCATTTCAGAGGGCGAGCAATTTCTCGCACCTGCAGTCCTCTCGCAATCAACTCACACTCGAAGCTCCAGGCGCCATGCGAAGGACCGATAGATTTGCGCCGATCTTCAAAGTCTGCTAGGATCCGAACTTGGCGGATTTGCTTGCAGCGAGTAACAGGTTTTCGCGGGGCTGCAGGTATTGGAACGGGTAGATGGCGTTTGCACAGAAGCAGGCGATGCTCGGCCTGACCGCATTTCGGGGCGACGATGAACGAAGATCCACGGCACACCGAAAATGGACCCGGCTAGTGACACCGTCGTCAACCCCAATAAACCCCTTTCAGGGCAACTCACAAGGCAAGCACTTTTCCGCACTACCAGGCCGCCGGCATTGAAGACAGACTGGGCAGTCCAAACTGTTGAAAATAACGGTCAGATTTACGGGGAGCCTCTAAGTTCGCTGGGATCCAAATTTGGCGGGTGCAGGAGTAGCAAGGAACCTGTTTTCGCGCGGCTTGTATCAGTGGAAGGTAGCGCCAGTGGGTGTACACAAGGAACGCTATGTTTGGGCGAACAAAGGAAGGCTCTGTTCTCGGTGAACGATAGCACACGCAGAACAAAGGGTAGTGGTGGATGCACTACCACACAATTCGGCGCAGCGCGACCCCAAACTGACCCCCATAAACTCGACCATCCCCACTGCGACCCCAAACTGCGCTAATGTACTAGCGCAAGAGCTTATCGAACTCGAACATCCCCACCGCGTAGACAAGAAAAATGTAGAAAAGGATGAAAGATCCCCCCTTCAACCCTTCCAAACATTGATTCGGCCAGTCGAGAAGGCGACCCCCGATTCTGCGACAAGACACCGCACACCATGACGACCAAAAACCTTGGAGGGCAACAAAGATCGTGGGCGTGAAAAATTGCTCGCCTTCATAAATGCCCTTAAAGGGGTTAATGTGGGTTGCCGACGGTGACAACGGCCGTGTCCCTTATTTTCGGCAACCCCCGTGAACCCCTTGAAGGGCATTTCAGAGGGCGAGCAATTTCTCTTACCCACAGTCCTCTCGCAATCAACTCTCACTCGAACCTCCAGGTGCCACGCAAAGGACGGATAGATTCACGTCGATCCTCAAAGTCTGCCAGGATCCGAACTTGGTGGATTCGCCTGCATTTGTAACGGGTGCGGTTCGATTAGTCTTTCGCCCCTATAGTCCACCAGACTGTGTGCCTCCCGTCTGCGACGCTGCTCCGCCGCTCGGCCCGCTGCTGCGCCGCGCTGCATTAGCGCCCGTCGGACTGAGGTCCGACGTTACCACCTCCCCTTTTCCTTCACCTAATCCAGGTTCATTCTGTTCTCCTGTTCGCTATCTGGCCCTCGGGCTGCTGCATAACGCAGCACCACCGACTCCGCCGTCCAGGCTCTCCCTGCCAAGCTCTCTCTTCGCCCCGGTTGCCGGTTTCTTCAGCTTATGGTCTGCGGGCGGCCCGTTACAACCCTTTCTTACCCCGCTCCGCTCCTGCGGTGTCCACCACCACCTCGGACCCCCAACGAGCAAACTCCCGTTCAGTCAGTTGGCTGTGGACCCGTGGCCCGCTGTAAGGCCTATACGTGGGCCTTAGTGAGGCGGGCCTCGTACGACCTTCGGCGGTAATTCCAATGAGAACTTTGAAGACCGCAGTGGGAGAAAAAGCCCGCGGAAAAACCGCGTGCGGACGGACGGTGCTCCTCAGCCCACGCACCAAAATAAAAATAGGAAACAGGAATGCTGCCGGCACCCGGAGCGCGCGAGAACCCGCAGGCCAGCCTTAAAAGGCGCGCACGCAAGGTCCTTGGCCTCCGTGACGACCATTAGATCCGGCGTCCCGTCCAAACCAATGTCCCGACGGGGTAGGAAAAATACGACACTAGAATAAAACTATTTTAGAAAACGCCACCACCAATCGGACGTCGCCACTAACAAAACCGAGGAGGATAGCCCCACGGCCCTCAACCCCATCGGCCTTCTCCCCGACGATCTCCTATCGAGGCGTCGACGTTAGCCGGCCTCGATCCCCGAACCTCCGTAGCAGCAGTCCGATGTTGTAACCTATAGGGCTAAGCCCAAGCCTGAGACCAATATCCGCGGAGCGCCATATAAGCAGTGCGGTGTGACGCTATGGGCCGACAACCGGCTGCACGGTTCCTAGTGCCCGCGCCGGTTTGCTTATACCATGCCATAATTGCCCCGCGCGCCATCCTACGACACCCCGCTTACCGCACGAAGCCGCGTTGTCGTTGCCAACACCGTTGTCGGGGCCGCTCTCCGCACGCGCGCTCGACTCGGTCAAGTGTACCAATCAAAAGTAGACATCCTTAATTCATGCTTAATCAAAAATAAATAAAATAATAAATAATAAAATAATATCACCAAGCAAAACGACTGAGGTCCGGGCCGACTTTACGATCAACAACACAAAAGAATCACGCGCGCCTTAAGCCTGCGCGCCCACGCACTCGCTATTGCTGTCAACCACCCAGCCAAAGCAATTACTGACGCAGCCACGCTTAGCGCGGTACACTTAAACTCTAGACCAAAACTATTTTCTGTCACTTGCAAAAACCAGGGCGGATACCCTTGTAAGGGTATTCGCACCGACAATGCCACTTATGAACCTCGTCAATTCGACTGACAATCTGCAAATCGGATTGTCCGTTCTCGTACGGAAGGCGCAAATTCCCCATGTTGGGACCATAGATTCTAAGGTTGTTGCAAGAAACCAGCACTACAGCATCTACAAAAGTCCGCTTTCGGTTTGAACATGCCACACACAACACTCTGGAGAAGCCGGAACCGGTCACAGACAATCGTATGCAACAATATGACACATTTTTTGGCTGTATTCCGGCACCGCGCAACGGATATACTTCCAAAAACGGATTGTAGGATGCACAGTCCAACAACTCTTCTTTCAAGTCTGCAGGCCACACCCGAGGTGACCTCGTGACGTTGTTCAGGCGAAGGTAAAACCGGTTATTTTCTTGTTGCCTGAGCGTGGCGCGTAGGGACGGAAGTTGCCTGACACCAATGGCATAATGAGGTACTTTGATCAAACTTCCCCACTCCATCGCGGAAGCAAATTTGTACTCCTTATGCCATGGACATTTCCTTGCCAAGATGGCTCTATCTCATTTTGCCTCGGACCACGCATTGATAGGCTTGTCAAAGAAGGGAATAACGGTCATCCACGGGTCATTTGTGAACTCTGTTGTCATCGACTCGACAATTTCGGCATCGCCTCTCGAACCACGGAATCCGCATGCACAAGGGTGAATGGGGCATGCACAACCATGCCGATGGTCCATGACTCCTGTCGCACTCCCTACACAAGACATGAAATGCAAACATAAATGAAAGTGAAATATCGAACTAGTACAAAAATCGCTTTAATGCTGAACTTAACTTCGAAAATTGTTAAACCGTCAACAACCATCTAAAAATATTAAACCGTAGACCATGGACAAGATTCGCTACGCAAAATCATCGAAAAAATAATATGCTCTTTTCCCGCAGGATAGCTGGAGCTGTTGAACGTCGGACTTGGGTATAGGGGCGAAAGACTAATCGAACCGGCTAGTAGCCGGATCTTCCCGAAGTCCTCCTTCGGGTTGGCCAGGTAGCGCTGCGTTGCAGCGAACGAGGCAGAGACGACAGCGGATGCAGTGTGTAGAAGCGGGGCAGACCACTGCGGGGTGACTGTCGGGTGGGGGCTAAGGCAGGCAAAAGAGCAAAGGCGGAATGGCAAACATGTGTAGAACGAACCCGGACGGGGGGCACGTCGGGGTACATTCGGAGATCGAATAGCGGAGCGATGAGGGAGATAGGAGATGGAGGGCAGAAGATCGCGAAGCTCGCGCGATCCTAGAAGGAATGAGGAGGGGGAAGGGTCGCCTCGGGGGTTTTCGGCCATAGCAAGTGTAGTGGCGGGGTCAATTCTTACGTTAGATTAGTAGAATAAGAGTAAAAAAGGAAGGTTCGTGCGCCGGTGGCTATGGCAGGGTGTTGGAAAGAGAACAAGGGAGAGCGTATCTCGCTCGATTCCTTGCGGAATCAAGCGAGGAAAGGCACGACATAGGGGTTTTAGGTAGTTGCGAATTGGGATATGGGGTCAGTTTTAGGGGGGAGTTAGTAGGATGGGAGGTTAGTAGAAAAGTGAGTGCGCCGGGAGTGTCGAGGAGGAAAACTCGACGAGAATAGAAAGTCTATATCTTGCTCGAATCTCGATGGATTTGAGCGAGACAAAAGGCTACGGGGAGTTTTTTTTGGCGTAAAGAACCGATTGGCGAAGTCGGATTTGGAGAAAGGTTAGTAAGAAGAGAGATTAGTAAGAGAATGCTTGCGCTGCGTATGACGGGGAAAGGCTGAAAAGAAAACTGAGTGAACCTGGACGTGGTTGACGCCAGGTGCATCCGGAAAAGACTATGGGTGGTGGGAGTGAGCAGGCCAGCGGGTTGGAATGGAGAGAGAGAGAGAGAGGGAGGAGGACTCACCACACCAGCGGCACTCGTACTTGAAGGGGATCTGTGACATAGTGCACAGTCACGCCAGCGAACCTGACCACCATTATGGGCCAGGTACATGGAGGTGGAGGTCGCTCGGTCCGGGGTGTCTGTGCGGCCTGCAAACGAGGACGGACGGATGTCGGGGTAGCTCCCTGGCTCAGTAGGTGGTGGAAGCCGACGGTCTGGGAGTTCGACTGTGGTGTGAGTGAGTCGTGTGTTGTTGTGCTCCAAAGGGCGGGGTGACTTACCTCGTAGCTGGCCGTAATAGCAATGTACGTTTCCATGCTCCAACGGTAGATTCGTCCGAATTCAGCACATATCTGACAAACCAAGGAGTAGCGGGGGAGTGAGCAGCGAGGTGAGGAGCGAGCAGTTGGGCTGGAGGCTTACCTGTTGACAAGGGCACTGCCTATCTCCTCAGAAACAAAAGTAACGGGGCGGACGAGCTAAGGGACCGAGGGCTTACCTGCGGGCTGCGGCACTGTCCTTCCCAGTTTAGTGGAGCAGCAAGGAGTGCTACATATCTACAGTTTGGCTGACTCGCTGAGGGAGCGTCCGGGGGAGGGCAAGTCATGGGCCTGCTTGCCTGTTTGTTGGCAAGGTGACGCGCTCTTCACCGGCCGAATTTGTGAGGTGGCATACTGGCTGGTGTGCTGCCCACCTTGAGGTTCGGAGTACTTGGGAAAAGGGCAAGTTGTGGGCTACAGGCTCACTCAACAGTTGGCAACGCCGCTTACTGCTGGACAAAGCAACAGCAGGCCAGCTACATGGTGCAGATGAGATAGTCAGTTGGTGAGGCACCATTGCAGCCGCTGGAGGAGGAGTTCGTTGGTGTGATGAGCTTGCTACCGCGCCATCACCACTCATTGCCCTGCGTATTAGCATATCCCAGCACGCTACAAATGATGGGCAGCGGTTAGTGGTGCACGAACCGCAACTGCGTACTGCACACAAACCGCTACTACGTCCGTTGTGGATTGTTGTATACAACTGGGTGCTGTTGCTGGCTATTGCCAACTGCTGCAGGGCGCTATGTAGCGCGGCTGGGTTTGAGAAATGGGGTTACTACTGCGAATTAAGGGTTCGACAGGAGGGTTGAGTTGTACAGGTTTGCTCTGGTTTGACCAAGCTGCCACTTTGGCTACCATTGCGGGGCCCTGAGGCGCTGAAGGTACCAAGGCCCTCTCGCGCGAGTTTGAGAGCACCCCTCTTATATCTGAGAATCTCAAACCCTTTTCTTTCTATCTTTCAAAATCTAAGTCTAGTCTGCTGGTTACGAGGGGAAGGTGGCAGGCGAAATTGCAACCCGTAGGTCTGCATCAAAACTCTGTGGGGAGTCCACCCACCGATTGCGGGAGCTCTGCCGGAACTCRGRAGGAGTTCTGGAGGCAGGGAATCGTCAGGTATACTATCTTTCATCTATATGACCCACTATCACCCATGTTTGCCTATCCCCCTGCAGTATGACTATTGTATGCATGCGATTGTCCCTATGGTTTTTGTTTTCTCTTCATGACCTAATCAAACTAACTAGAAAGAATGTGTGAGAGTGAAGCCTAAGTTTCTACTTTGTTCTGATTGAAAGCAGACTAAGGATGAACCGGGCGAAGGTGGGAGGAAGGTAGACTGCATGCGTTGACCGGGTCAACCAAAGCTCAAGCATTGTTTCCACTGTGAATGGCTCAGGGCTATGTTTATTTGGTTGTTTTCTGCAGGACCAGGCATTGTTTCTACTGTGAATGGCCCGGTCGCTGTGTTTATTTAATTGTTTTCTGGGGAACCAGACATTGTCTCTTCTGTGAATGGTCTGGCTACCTTAGTTAACTCTGAAGGTTTGTCTGATTGAACGGGTTTAAATTCTTGTTTATTCTGAGGAGGATTTTTTGTCTAAGGCTAAGCATTGTTTCCATGGTGAATGGTTTAGCCTCAAAACCACGCACACAATTGAAACTAAGTATAAAGGAAAGTATTTTATGTATATTTGCATGTGAACTGGCAGCTGGGCATTGTTTCTACTGTGAATGGTCCAGCGTTAAGCCATATCATTAAGAAGAGAGAAGGGAAAATACAGAGTATAAATGGAAATAGTTTGGGGCAAGCTGAACATTGTTTCTACTGTGAATGGTTCAGTCCCCGGCCCATATTTGTCTTTCCTTTTTCAACAAAGTAAGAGAAATACTTAAACTTTGGATATTAAACAGCTCAGGGTGACTAGGCATTGTTTCCATGGCGAATAGCCTAGTCATCTGCCGAAAAGAAGAAAGAAGTGGTTGTGCAACCTGTTCGTGTATATCACAAAGACAAGCTGGACATTGTTTCCATGGCGAATGGTCCAGCTCTGTGTCTTATGTAAGATGGGTATAAGGATTCAAGAACTTAAAGATTCACGAACTATTTAAATGGAATGACCTTCGGATGGTGAGAGTACTTGCATTCGTGGTTTGGTTTGCATAAGACTGGATGGCATGACTAGTTTGTTTGAATTTCAGTTCTATAGGTAGTTACTTTAGTTGCTCGCCACGTGCTAGAGCCATAGGAGTTGGTGTCAATTCCTGCATTTTCTGTAATAACATTTTTTTACTTAGGTCAATTCCTGCATTTTCTGTAATAATTTTTTTCTTAATTAGGTCAATTCCTGCATTTTCTGAGATCTTTTTTTATACTTGGTTTTGTATAAATTTTGGCAAGCTACTTTTCCTACGGGAAGTGCTGCCGAAATTTCTACAAATTCAAGAAGTTACTCAACTTTTGACTTGTCAGAGTTCAACTTGTCCTTTTCATATATCTAGCTTAGTTAAAATCTGGGAAGTCTCATTTTCTAAAGGGAGTGCTGCCCAAATTTTTGTTAATTCAGGGAGTTACACAAAATTGAACTTTGGGAAGCCAAAGTTACTTTCAAAATTTGAACTTAGTCTTGTATAAATTTTAGAATAGCACTTTTCTAGAGGGAGTGCTGCCGAAATTTTCTACAAAATTAAAGGAGTTGATTAAATTCAGTCTAAAATTGAGCTCGAGCTGTTGCTCGAGTTCATATCTGACTTAGCATAAATCTGAAAAGTCTCCTTTTCTAGAGGGAGTGTTGCCCAAATTTCTACTAATTCAGAGAGTTAGACAGAATTTGACTTTCCAGACTTAGATATTATTTCGGTGTTCATATTTGAGCTTATATAAATTTTGGAAAGACACTTTTCCTATGGGAAGCGCCGCCGAAATTTTCTTAGTTTAAAGGAGATAGACTATATTTTGTCAGGGGGCGATTCAGACAATCCACCCAGAATATGGGAGATTCCGTAGTTGGTCTACCTTTAACTTAAGCATTTGGTTTAAAAGTAGACTTAAGTTTAACTTATAGGGAGGTTTTGAGTGACGATGTATTATGCAGTTATATTCTCCATACACTTATGATCTTAGCTTGCGGATTGATCTGCTGTGTGTTTCAGGTCCTTTTGATCATTTGATCAAAGTTCAAGGTTAGATCCAGCTTGATCCCTTAAGGATCACTTACTGTTATCACGGATAACAAGTCGGTTGCCGATTCGTCGGTCTACGACCCAATTTCAACTCTCCCCCCACACTCAATCTAAAAGGCTTTAGCCATGGTGATTTCGTTGTTTTATTAAGGTTTCACTCGGACTTTTATTGAATGGCCATTTAACAAAGGTGTTGAGTATTCAATTAAGGTTGGTTGGATAGGAGGTTTTGGGGCTTGCATGGCTAAAGCGAGGGGTATGAGCGTCGAAGGTGGTTGGGGTTGACTCCGTGTAGTGTGTGGGCTGTTGATTTGGTTCGTTGATGTGATTGCAGGTATTTGCTGTGAATCAGATTCTGGATTTGGTTGCTTGCGATCACACATATACGTATTATTGTGAGAGACCCAAGTGAGACCGTTAAAAAGTGATCGTCACATACTTAACCCTTATATATGTATACATAGGTATACTTGGGATAAATGTTTGCATAGATTGAAGAGTCTCATACCAAAAACCCTATTCAGAAGCCGAGGCTGAGGGGCTTTGGGGAAGCTTCTCCTTCTATTTTGGTTTCTTGCTCTTTGATGATTTTCTTAGTCGGACGTTTGGTCCTGGGCCGGGATTCGAGGTTCTTGTCCAGGACTCCCCAAGCCCTGGGCTCTGCAGGGGGGGGGGGGGTTCCCTCGCGCAGAGCCTATTTGATTTGCCTACCGAGACAATCATGCCGAGAGCCGAAGGTGCCACGGTGGTTGCACGACTATTCCTTCAGCCGTGCAATGTCGTGAAGGGTTAGGCCCTCGCGCACTTCGAGTATGACACTTGAGTGTCATAAGCGGTACTCGGATCCACGAGGGACCACTTGATTATGGGCACTACATAGTACGCCATCGTCGCGACTGCATGCGTATGCCTGAATAGCGGGTTGGTATAACGTAGGCCTTCGGCTGTGTAAATTTATATTAAAATCTCACGCGCGACGTTTCACCGCCCTAGTGTGTAAAAGGTTATGGGATTATAAAGGGACTGACACATATGAACGAATGTTTTTGAGATTGCTATAGGCCGCCAACGCCACGCGAAAAAGGGAGGGTACCTGAGGGCTATGATTTTGTCTACTAGGCAGGGAACCTTTGGCCCATTCCTTATCTTTTGCTCTTTGGAGTTTTTATAGTTGGAAGTTATAGTCCGTGACAGCCATCAAAGTCAAACCCCTTGATGTTCGACCGCCACGACAGCTTAAAGTTGTCTACTCAACCCCTCTGCACAGGATGCAGAAGAGGGTGTGGTCTTCAACTGCTCATGGTGGTTGTCCAGCGTCGAGAGATTAACCCTCAAGGCGTGTGTCAGCCGACACTTGAGTGTTGAACGAGGCCCTCGCGATTAATGGAGACCGAGTGAGAATAGGTACCACATAATACGCCTTCATTGCGACTGCTTGCACACAATTGCATTGCGAGTCGATATGCGATAGCCCTGCGTCCGCGCAGTTTTACACTGAGTCTCTCGCGCGACACCTATTCGATTTCCGCGTTGGAAAGTTATGGGTTGGCTACCGAGGGGCTGGGAGCGTTGTCGTGTTGTTTGTGTTGTGTCGTTTCGTATATGTGTTGTTTTGTGTGTATGTGTATTCATAAAGTGGAGTGCGCGTGGTGTGTGGGATGCGTTCAAGTCGACCGATGACGGGTCGCGCTCGGGACCTCAGCCCCCCCAAGATGCCAATTCGCGTGCGGGTTCGATAAAGGCGTATTACCGCTCGTACCCCCTATGCTACAGCGAACGAGAAACGCCCTCGGCTGGTCCACCTCTGCGATTGCAACTGATTAGCTTTCGTACTGTGGGCTGGTAGCTCGGCGGGGATACACCCACCGAAGGGAGGTGACAACTCCCGTAAGGTGTAGGTAAGTCGTGCCTCGCATAGGCCCTATCCTGTCGTAGGGGCTTGCGAAAGGTATGGCTGGCGCACTCGGCCGGAGCGGCCTAAGGAAGCTCCGTATATATTGCGACGAAGGATTTAAAACCAACTCCTGCGTGACGCGGCCGGGAGGGTCCCGCGCTGCCCTGGTGCGGTGTCGGACCGGTGCGCTCCACAGCATGAGGTAGAGCAAGTGACATGTTGTGTGCGTGACGCCATCGGCAAGTCCTTAGCAGGTGTCTATAGGTTTGTAAGGATGAAGTACATTTCGGTGTTCTCGAGGGTAGCGACGAAGGGACAGCCACAAACCTTTGTTTTCGGGTCGTCCATGAATGCCTTATACGGGTTTGGTTATAAGGGGACGCGGGGACATCGGTTGAAAATTTAAATTTTGTAAATGATACCGTTTTAGAAAGTTTACATTGTTGCAGCTCGTAGCTTTTAATTATAGACGTAGTTCAATGCATAGTTGGCTTGTAGCGTTGAATGTAGACGTACTTCAATCTTGCATTTGCGGTTTCTTGCACGTGTTGGTACAATTTTGAACTTTTAATTATCGATACAATTTTCAACTTTTAATTTTTCATGGGTACAACATTTCTTGAAGTGAGACGGAATCCGTGGTACTCACATGCATTTCAGTTTCATATGACCATGTCATATCGGTTTATGATTTTTGTCAAAGTGCGTCGGAATCCATACATAACCCATCTTGTTTACCTTGTGATTGCATTGACTCATCAAAGGATTTCTAGTTTCGCCTTCACACAATATCATGTGTAGTACGTCTGAATCAATGCTCAGTGATAGTACGTCTGAATCAATGCTCAGTGATAGTTCGTGTGTTGTTCAGTGAGGTCATTCACAACCCTGTCCAGTGTCTCATTGTGTCTGTTGTTGAAGTGCATTTCAATGTATGTCAATGACATGTCAGTTTCGTCTTTAAAGTCACATAAATTGTCGTAGTGTGATAGAGTCCAAAATTATCGAAGTGTCACAGTGTTGGAATCCATCCTTAAATCACACCGAACAGACTGAGTGTCACGTCTTTTAATAAGTAATACTATGTACTACTACATAAATTATTGAAGTGCGATGATATCCATAGTCACTGTACTTAAACCGTAGTCTCGTTTGCTGTGTGATTCGTTTGTCGTGTGATTGCCTAACGTTTAAAGTTTACTCTTCGATCGATTTAATAACTTATAAATTACTAAGTGCGACGAAATCCATACTTAGTCCAGACTATTAGTACTTAAACCATCCGTGTGCTTGGCAATGTTTTAAATGTCCCACTTCCATTGACTTTCAACGATCGATTTAATAAGTTAACTGAAGTTAGTAAATATATAATAGAGTTAAAACAAAAATTATCGAAGTGCGACGGAATACATACTAGACTATTAGTACTAAAACCATCTGTGTGCTTGCCTTAAATGTCCCACTTCGAGTTTCAATAAATTTAAGGAAGTCACAATGTCATCTAAAAGAGGTCCGACTCAATGCTGACATAAAATTGAGCAAGGAGAGAAGAAATCGAGAGTTCAAGAATTCATTTTCTAGCCGTAACGGCTTTTAAGTTACAAAATTGATGGAAGTGCAATGGAATCCACACTTAATCCATCATGATCAGTAAGTGATTGCCTTGAATCTCCAGTTTAGATTCAATTTATGGCCTCTCAATTGCATTCTTCGGGTTCCAGAGTTCTATTCAGGTCCAAAATATAGCGATTTTAACATGAAATTAATAGCTTGCGAGTACCAATTTAAAATATAATGTCCTGTTTTAACGGATAACATGTTACTTATGGCGTAGGGCGACGACAGCAAATCCGAATGTATTCGGAATTTATGGTGGTCGCCCGAGCCGAGAAAACCGGAGGTCGCACCTTCGCTCCTTCGCAATGCAGGCATCCCGCCCTCCAGGCAAAACGAAGACGCGCCCTCTTTCAGGAGCAAGGTATTGAGCACAAGAGACCTTTGCTGCGCACGACGGGATGGACTCTCCTGGGCAACGGGAAACAAACTCCTCGCAGACAAGTACGAATCTACTCGCACTTGATCAGACGTCAGGGTGGCCTCGTCTCACATGTCGGAATCTCGACTCCCTACGCAATGGGGGTCAGTTTCCATATACTGGGGACTCCCGTACGTTCTACGCTTTCCGTCCGACCCCTTCCCGCCCGACCCTTTCCCGCCCACCCCTTTCTGCCCGACCCCTTTCCGCCAGACGCCTTCTCAACTGACGATGTCTCGCCCGTCCCCTTTCCGACAAATTATGAGCCGTCTCCTCCGCCACCTCCGCTGTGTCCTTCGTCTCCTCCACCACCCCCTCCCGAATGCTGACCGGCCGACGGAGGTTGCGGCATGCGCCAGTCAATGCCACGAGACGGTGCCGTTTCGAGTGCGTAGAAAGGCGCTCGAAACTCTAACATGTTGTTGGCGTACAAATCATGTAGTTTTTCTTCTGGATACGCATCGACGTCCTGATCGTTCCTCTCGGGGTTCATGAGACTCAAATGCTCCACCAGAGCTGTTATTGCCTTTCTCTTAAATGCACTCGCTCCCAGTCTCTTTAGTCCACTCCACTTGCCATCGGCCTTCTTTATTGCCATGACCCATATTCCATTCCTTACAGCATGTTGGAATATCCTCGGGTGCCAGACGACATTGTGTCCCCCGACATCCTCCGACGTGAACCGGTGATGCTTGCCGAAGAAGTAGAGTCTGTCATTCTGCCAGGTGTCATGGTCCACAGGGAGCCTGTCACAAGGTTCGTGATCGTAGTCTCTCTCTTCTTCCCCGTCATCAGACGATTGGTCGTCGACTSGTTCGCCCCGAAACACACGCTTCAAACYGGCAGGGGACGTGCTATATCTCCGAGGGTCACCTTCCTCTTCATCACCAACCTGTCCAACCACCCGAGGAAGTGGCATGGACTCGAAATCGAAGGTTTCAGAGTCGCTCAACTCCTCCATGTCGTCAGCGTCGAAAGGGTCCTCCATGTCAAATTGTGACTTGTAGTTTTCGAGAGTGAGCGGTTCGGCCGGCGTGAAGTAAACGTGCTTCAGCCTTCTCAGGAAGTACGAGACAGACTCCCTGGGTGCACCGTGGTACCCATTGAGCACAGCGAACACCAGGTTTCTCCATCCACTGTATTCGAGGTCGGTCGGACCAGGCGGTCCGGGTCCGAAAAGGAAGTCCCAAACGTTCGTCCTTTTGTTCCCCGGCAATTTCCAATACATGTCACATTTGGGATCCCAGTTTCGTTCGCCGGTGGTGCGGGCAAACTCGCAAGCATTGCGAGTGTCTGCAACGCGTGCCTTCGCGAACTCGTAAAGGTAATCGATCATCCTTCGCGTCCTTCTCCAACGCGACAACGTTCCGACCGGTGTGCAAGAGTTCCCACACGACAGACACATGCGCCTTCCCAAAGAAAAAAAACAGTTTGACCAGCTTTGCAAAAGTTTACGAGTAGACCAAGTAGACGGGACGGGTTCCGCTCCATCTCCTCGTAAGCAGGTCCTTGAGAACTTGTCACGCCGCCGTCCTCCCACATGCTACGAGAGAACCTTTCCTCTTCCGCCACGTCGAAACACGCCACAGCCTGTCCTGATGGGCCTGCCACCGTGTGTTTGGCTGGACTTGGACCATGAGCACGGGAAGCCTTTGCCGGGCTACTGGCCGGGTAGACTGCAAATGTGTTGTCTTCCAGCTTCTCGCCATTAAAAATCACGTACAGGCGGTCACACTCCTCAACCAGCATATTGCCTTCCCAGACAGTGGCCTGCTTTTGTGCATTACGTACCCAGTTCCCTGTCCTGACGTGATGGACGCTAAGCCTGGTCATGCCTTTCAAGAAATTGAGCTCCCAACGAGAGGGGAAAAAGATCACAAGTGTCGAGTGCGTTCGCGAAAGTGTTTGAAGAAGGCCTTGCAAGTTGGCGAAATTGTCTTCTCGCCAGTCTGTGAGGAGTGTGGGATCACACAAATCGAGGACGTACATGTTGCACACGTAATGTCGCACAACCTCAGGGATCGCAGTGACATGACTGTGAGCTTGGAAAGGCGGGAAAGCGAAAGGAATAAGGTTGGTCAACCAGTTGAGGTCGGGCCATTTGATGTGCCTCACATCCCCGCTGACCCTGATTGTGTCTCGAACTTCTTCTTCCGTCCATCGCAAGATGGAACGGACAAACTTTTCGAAAGAGTTAAGAAACCTTTCATTATCGTACAATTTCTTCGCGTCGTCGAGGGACTCCTTCTCGTGCGGAAGAGTACGTTTGCAAGTGTTCACGTAGTCCACCGCGCCCTGGAAATGCTTTCGCATCTCGACCCAAACCTGTTTCGTGAGGCCCTGCGGCCCGTACTCCTCCAGAAGCTTCCCCTTGGTCCAAAAAAAAGGGCTCCCGTGGCGCCAAACACATTCGTCCTCCTCCGTTTCAAGGAACAAGATGTAGTGGAACATACGGAGCATCATACGGTCCATTTTCCTCGTCGCGACCATGTCTTTAATTCCTGGTTTGTGCTGACGCTTCAGATGGCCGCCCGCGGATTGCACGAACACTCCCCTTTGCGTGAGAATGTCGTCAAGGATCGACAGTTTCTCAGCATCAGTCATGTCGGCGAGACACTTCTCACAGAACATGTCTGGCTCCTTCACGACCACGAAAAACTTGTTGTCCGCTTGCATTTTCTTTTTGGTCGGAGGCGGCGGAACCCGGACCACCCACCCCATCTTCGTTTTACCAGCCGTTCCTTTCGAGCCCATTTCCGGAATTGCTTGCAGACCCGGAGATTAGTCAGGCATGTATTTGCCCGGCCTCGACAATGGCGTCTTGCCGTCGCCGCCCAACAACTTCCCCTCCACCCATTTCGCCAAGAATTCCATGGCTTTGCGGAAAACGTCATCACCGACCGTCACGAGCGGCATCCACTGCCTCAATGCATTGCCAACTGCAGCTACATACTCCTTGTCGGCGAGCGACGAATCTTTTTGTGCCAACGTCCAATGAGCTCCGTCCGGACTCTTTCCCAAAATCAGCTTTTGGAACATAAAGAACTTTTGTTTTTCGGCCTCCTTGCCGGAAGGGTTCCCTTGAATGGCCACCGACCTTCCTTCATTCTCCCATGCCTCCCGCATGTCCAAGAACGCGGCCTTCTGCGATCGCTGCTTAGACATCTTGTGTCTCGTGTTCTCGTTGAGACTGACCTGCCTATACCCCGCGAAATCTCGGTCGAAGAACCACACTACTCTCGCCGGCCACGAGTGCATCTTCCACCAATTGAATATTGACTCACCCTCCAACTCCTTTACATCAGCCACGGTGTGTTGTCCGTTAACAGGGTAATAGTAGTACTTGTCCTTGTCCTCTGGCTTGAAGACATCTTTGTGAACCCTGTCAGCTTTCTCTGGCCTACGCATCTTGTAGATGGGTGCCAAAACCAAAGGGTTTTTCATCCAGAACTTCCCCTTTTTCTAGCGGAATTGACTCAGCATCGTACCCTTGATGTCGTCCACAGTTTCGCGACTTAGACTGCGGTGGTTGTAATATCTTTCCCAAGTCGGGATCTCGCAGACCTTCTTGGGGTCGATGAGCAGTTGGACGGGGAGCTCCTTCTCCACGATTTCACCGACATCATTCCGCTCGTATTCGAGCCAGAACGCTGCCGCTTCGTCGTACTCCTTACCGACAGGCCCTTCGCCACCGCTCGCCGCCTCAACAATCTTCCGCCTTCGAGTTTTCTTCTCGCCATCGCCTTCTTCAACTGCCACTTTCCGTTTCGATTTCCCCGAAGGTTCTCTCGCGGCCGCAGCGCCTGGATCAGCCGAATGTCCTCCACCCGCGGCTTGTCCTTCGCGGATGGTCAAATCGTCAGGCCTCTTCGCTTTCTTACTTGCCGTCCCACCCTCTTCCTTCGTCGGCCTCTTTCCCAAGGCACGTTCTCCATCGCCACCTCCATCCTCGCCCATCACCGCCTCCAGTTTTCCTCTCATCTTCTTCATGCGGAGGGTTCCTTCTGCCACCTCCTATCGCACCATCCTCTGTCGCTCGCTCATCTTCTTCGAAGGAGTCTGATCCCCACCAGAGCTTTCGCTGACAGCGCCCATCCCTTCAGCCTCATTCCCTCCAACATCTAGCCCCGATCTGCTTGAATCTCTTCTCGTCTCATCTCGAAGCAAATACGTGTCATCGCCGCAGCGGATCTTGATAAGTTTCAGAGTACCAACCTGTTGAGTCCCTGTACCCAGAGAATGCAATTCCGACGTGTTCCTAGGAGCATCCGGGCCGACCTGCGTGTGAACGCTGCGTCCCTTGACCCGACCCCCAGCGTCTTGAATTGGACTCCTGCGCCCCACTGCCGTACCTGGAGTTTCTTGAACCAAGCCGGACGACACATCACGGGGTGGCAGAAGCTGGAAAACATGCTCTGGCGAAAAAACCGGACGTTCTCTGGGCACCATCAGCGCGAGATCGAGATATTGCTCTGGCGATGGAAGACGCTTGCTGCCGCCATCGTAAAGGTCTTTGAAGTGAGAGGAGTCGTACCCCGCGAGACTCTTGATGGTCACCAACACACCTTTAACACCTCTGATAGGCAGTCTGCACTCGTCGTACAAGCCGTTAGTGTTCAGCTTGAGCAAACCTCCAGGAGTTTTCGCGCACGAGATGACGGTACCGAGAGGAACAACGTTGACCGCTCCCCTAGCGTCTGTAACGCAAGTGGGTCGCATGAAAACAGCTGGCCCAAAAAGGTCCCCCTGAACAACGAAGTCCAAAAACCATTGTGCTCCCTTTGCGTGCATATACGGAGGAGTAGGTTGTTGTACAGGTCATCCCTCCCCGCGGGCAGATGGTCCAGCGCTTGTGGATGTGTTCTTTGTGGACGCCATTGTATTCCCACCCGTTGACTAGCACGCCCAACCTCAGACCAACTCGGATGACTAATACGCCCAACCCCAGACCAATACAGAAGCGAAGTGCGAACTAACACGGACTTAACGAAATGGAGGACGAAAAGGACGTAAGACATGGGTGTTCGAAATGCACACGAAGTCACAACAATCGGGTGAAGGATAGGAAAGACAGAAGTTCGGAGGGAAGACGATAACTGTTCGGAAAGATTGCGACCCAACTAGATGCCCTCGAAACGAGTAAGAGGTGGTTTATCGACAAGTGCGAAGGGTGTCGACAAGTGCGAACTAACTCGCAGTTCTGTAAACAAGACAACAATGGAAACCCGCTGCACTAGGGGAAAGTGCGAACTAACTCGGAATTATGGAACTGAAGACCTGAAAGACGCACAAAACGAGTAAGATGTGGTTTATCAACAAGTGTGAATCGACAAGTGAGAACTAACTCGCAGTTATGCTGACAGGACGACAATTGCAACCCGAAGTACAACAGCAAAGTACGAATTGACTCTGAATTGTGGAACTGAAGTCCTTGTTTATCGACAATTGCGAAGGGTTTCGACACGTGCGAACTAACTCGCAGTTTTGTAGACAAGACAATAATGGCGATGCGCAACACTAGGGGAAAGTACGAACTAACTCGGAATTGTGGAACTGAAGACCTGAAAGCCGCACGGGTTGGGTCGTCAACTCTCCAGCAGTGTTGCTAAAAAAGTGCGAACAACTCGCATTTGTGGAAATAAAGAACTGCCTTTAATGAAATATGTGTCTAACCTTGGAAAAACTGTGAATAACCTCGCAGTTGTCACTCCTCGAACACTGTACGTCGCAAACTGCGAACTGACTCGCAATCTCTCTCTCTCTCTCTCTCTATATATATATATATATATATATATATATATATCAGGTCGCCGGTCGGCGACCTCACAAGGGACAGGTGAGCGAAAATCGGGAATTGATTCGGTGTTCAGTGTAGCAATATATCTCTATATATACATATATGTATCTNCGGGAATTGATTCGGTGTTCAGTGTAGCAATATATCTCTATATATACATATATGTATCTATATCTTTATATATATATATGTAGATATCAGGTCGGGGACCTCACAAGGGATAGGTGAGCGAAAATCGGGAATTAATTCGGTGTTCAGTGTAGCAACTAGGTATTGATTCGAGGTTCGCCATGCGCAGCGACGACTGCAACTTGCGAAGGGGATCGAGGAGCTTTATACGAACGTTATCAAGGCTATGGCGAAAGGTGATCGAGCTGCGGAACGCGGATCGGCTATGGCGGACGGAGGKGGRGGGKGGRGAAAAGAGATCAGAGCACGTCCACTGGCGAAACAACAAAACCAGGAATTGATTCGGGGTTCAACAGAACGCGGCTGCGGCGTTATATCCTGCAGGTACAGACAGGGCATCTGAGAATGTGTTCGGACGTCGGACATAGAATAGGACAACTCAAGTTATATGATTTTACCTTCGTCGTGCGTTGAGCGAGCAACCAACCACCGAACCAGCTATGGTGGAGGGATATCAAGCTAGGAAGAGCGAAGACCGAGGAGCGAAGAGCGAACCGAACACAATGTGGCAACTGCGGACGGAGCGAAGAGCGAAGAGTGAGCGGGCTATGGCGGAAGGTGGGGGGGGCTGAGGACCAAATATCAGAACGCGCGTGGAAGCGATAGCGCGACTTGATCTGTGAAGCACCAACAAAAGGGATAACTCGAGGACTGCAACGCCTTTTATACTTTGTTGCAGCAGGCCTCGCGTCGGGATCAAGGTGGGGCCGAATCGATTCGCATATCGCACCCCTGGGCCCATAAAACGCCATCAAGGTTGGGCCGAATCGATTCGTGTATCGCACCCCTGGGCCCATAAAACGCCACGGCCTATAAACGGTAAGGGGCACCGGAAATTGTCAGCAGCCGATCAACAATTTTCAACCGCGCAGATGAACGGAGCCACTGTTATGCCAGTGGCCCCAAAATCTTCGTCAACTCCGGCGTGCAATGATGTGACAGTTTCCGAAAACAAGGGGCAGGCAATGTCATTTTCGTAGTTCTAATCTGGACCGTCGATCGGCATGATCCGACGCACGAGGTCAGGTGCAAGAATGTGTAAGGTGCAGCAATTCGTTGTGCGCCGAGGCAGTTCGTTGCGCGCCGAGGCCAGTCGACGGTTTATTTCCCGCCGAGGCGCGGAGATTCTTTGTGCGTCGAGGTCAAAAACACCGGAAATCTATAAGTTCCGGTGTTGCTGTCATTCGGACATTTTGCAAATGTCAACGGCGTTCGATATCGATGCGCTTAGTCATGCACCATCGTTATCGATGCGGTTAGCTCATCGCCATCGCCAACGCTCGTCATGCACCATCGTCATCGATGCGCTTAGCTCATCGCCATCACAACGCAAAGCTATATCCCCCATCGCAGTCGTCGCACTCACCTGACCATCGCAGCGCTGACAATCGCCATCGCTCTCATCACAGCGCTGGCCATCGCTGCGCCATCGCAACGCTGGTACCATAACTGCCATCGCAACGTTGGTTCCATCGCTGCACCATCTCTCAATCGGTGCGCCATCGCTATCGCTGCCATCGCTATCGCTGCCTTCGCTATCGCTGTTCCATCGCTGCGCCATCACTATCGTTGTTCCATCGCTGCACCATCGCTATCGCTGTTCCATCGCTGCGCTATCGCTCTCCACCGGTGCGCCATCGCTCTCCACTGGTGCGCCATCACTGCGCAATCGCTATCGTTGTTCCATTGCTGCCATCGCTATCGCTATCGCTGCATTGTAACGTGTTCCATCGCCATGCCATCGCTCTTCACCGGTGCGTCATCGCTCTCCACCGCAGCGTTGGCCATCGCTATCGAAGCCCTGGCCAGTGTTATCCCACCGCAGCGCTACGCGATTTCTCTCTCCATCACCGCACGATCTCCCTCCATTGCTGAGTGATCACTCTCCATCTGACTCCATCACTGCGTGATCTCTCTCGACACCTGGGCAACCTTCATCCTTGCCCCGGAGGCTCTCCATTACTAGTGCGCGATCCCGCCATCATCATTGTATTATTGTTTCAGGCGGTCGTCGGTGACAGGTATGCTTAACGAAGGCTTAACTCGATGGAACTGATGTTGTGCAATAACAAATCTTGGTCATCGCTGTGCCTTCTCTCTCCATCATTGCGGCATTGCTAACCATTGTTGCGCGTCCGCTCTCCATCTCTCTCCACCAATGCGCGATCTCTACCGACCTTTCGTCATTTATCCCCATTATTATGGTATCTTTCCTAATCCATCTCCTTCGCCATCCATCTCCTTCGGTGCGCTATCTTTCCTAATCTATCTTCTTCGTCATCTATTTCCATTGCTGCGCTATCTTTCCCAATCTATCTCCATCGTCATCTATCAGCTTCGGTGCGCCATCTTTTTCCATTGTTGTGGTATCGCTAACCATCTCTCTCTTGCTGCGGCACACCTCCCAATCAGTTCGCGATCTCTTTCCCTTCCTGCGCCATCCACCTTCCTCCCCGGAATATACAACTCACTTTCATTACAGTTGTCTTTAGACTGAAAGATGACCCGAATTCAGCTGTAATGACTGGACGTTGTATTCGGGGGAAGACTGTGACTTCATCCATCTCTCTTGGTGCGCCATCTCTCTCATTCGGTGCGCCATCTCTCTCCATGTATTTTCATCGATGCGTTGTCTGCCCATCGCTTCGTAATCTTTCTCCATCTTAAAAAATAGCACGCCATCTTTCCCTATTTCTCTCTTTCCACGATCTGTGGCTCGTACTACACGCAGAACAAGTCGGAAACAACATGCACTTATACCCGCAGTTTCGTAATGGAAATGCTCGTTTACAAGTGCGAATTCATTCGCTCTTGAACCAACCAACCCCTTAATTTGTCACTGTTTAGTCCATAGGTTCGAATTAACTCGCACTTGTACCCCTAGTTTCGTAATGAAAATGTCCGTTTGCAAGTGCGAATTTATTCGCTCTTCAATCAACCATCCCCCTAAATTTCTTACTCTACAGTCCAAAAGTCTCAGTTTCATAGTGGAAATGTTCGTCTGCAAGTGCGAATTTATTCGCTCTTCAACCAACCATCCCCCCAAATTTTTGACTCTTTAGTCCACAAGCCTCAGTTTCATAATGGAAATGCTCGTTTGCAAGTAAGAATTTATTCGCTCTTCAATCATCCATCCCCCTAAATTTGTTCCTCTTTAGTCGATAA